CAATTATGATTGAAAGGTTCGAATAATATCCGATAAATTTATGTTTACCTAACGATCCTGGGTTCTGGTCAGCTGTCAAGTGCTTATATTCAGCCCAGTGCCCAGGTCGTGATGAATGAATGGAAAAGCCGTGAATGGCTGCCCATGAATGATGAACTGTTCAGATCTGCACTTCAAAAAGGTGTCCTTGTAGGTGTACACCCTGCGGATGCTGGAAACCTTGCAACTCCATCCGAGGGCCGTGCAATTGTGGCTATTGCAAAATATTGTATTCCATTTTGATTGATCGGCTTGCCAGAAGTGGGCTTATAAAAATGGATCAAAAAATGTGACTTTTTTCACAAAAAAATAATAATGGTCACATAACAACGTGGGTTTCATTTGGGATGATGTGATTGATAAGGTTTGAAATGTCGAAGTTTCCTAGTCCAATTTAAAAACAGGGACATTTTGAGAAGGATATAGTCTTAAATATTATGTCTTCTAAGCTGTTTCTACAAATAGAATAAAGTTGGTAAATATTAAAAGGAATTTATATTTTTTGTATTGTAAAAAGCTGCTTAATTCCTGAAAAAACATTTTTATTCCAAACTGGTCCACAAAAAATTTTGTATTCGCACTACAGTTGAAAACAAGTACTAGGATTCATAGGATTTGAAGCTATAGCTACTGACTTCAGATCACTAATGTCTATATTGAAATTTTTACGTGGCTTAAAGATAGTTTACAGATAGATTATATAGTTTATAAAGATTATCATTTGTTTTTCTATTCTATCTCACTTCTTTGAAGTGTAAGAGGCAAAAAATTAATAGTAGTACAATTCGAATATAACTATAGAACTTACCTTATAGGGAAATTCACATCCTCATAAGTGTCATACGCGAAAACCGCAAAAATGTCTATAAATTGACATCATAAATTAAAATTACTTCCACCCTTCTTCACCTTGGAGCGCCTAAGCGCAAGCCCAGGCCCAGGCCCGAAACCAAAACCCAAAAACCAAACCCTGCCTTGTGGGTTTTGCGGGCATATCGCACTACTATTCGAGGGGGTTGGACCAGGGGTTGGTGTCGCCACAAAACCACACCGAGAAAACCGAAAAACCTAAATGCCGGGAATGGATGTGCCTGGTAGGTGGGGTCCGAAGGGTAGTAGATAGGGCAGAAAGAGGAAAAAGGGCGAGAACCAGCCATCAACACGATTATTTCGCATAAAATAAATTGATTCCAGTTAAGAGTCAAGCATGTCTTTTGATTCCAGCAGAAGAGCATCGACAACACAGAATAGACAAACCGAAAACAGCGCTTGAAAAATGTCGAAATTTGTCCACAATAAGTTCTTTATTGAGTCGCCATATACAAAGGATTGCCACATCCCCCTTACCGATACCATTCCCGATCCCGATCCCGTTCTCATCTCCGCTATAAACCACGGCCCGGCCACTCGACGAACTAAAAACCAACAAAACAATGGGACAAAAGAAAACTGTGGCACGTCTTTACTGTCTTGGTCCTTTAGTGTCCTGCTGCATCTGTAAGCGGTGAGCGTCAAGGAGCGGTAGGCTGTCCCGACACCTTTGGCCGCCTCCATCCCTCGCCGCGTCTGAATAGAAAGTGGGATATGAATAATGACAGGCGAGCCAATTTCGTTCAGTTGCGTCAAAAGAAGAGTCAGCCAGGATCCTTTCCCTCTGACCTGCCGGGCCATTGTCTTGGCTCCGATTCGGATGCCAGTGTGGCACCTTGACAGCCACTCAGGCAGCCACCGCGGCGATGCGGTCGCCAAGGCGGCTGGCTGCTCCAGGTCTCTAGTCCTGCTCCTGCATGGGTCCTTGCGCCAGTCGGCCAGACCGTTCGTCGCCTCTCAAATTGAGTGTGTGGAATCGATTAGTTGGCGCATTCTCCTCGCTGTATTTGTATTTAGTTTATAAACTTATTTCTAAATCGACGGCCCGTGAAGTATGCTGAGGGTGAAGATTCGATTATTTCATTCACAGTGTCGCGTGAATGGAAATGGTATTAGGTTCGTGTGACAAATTAATGAATTCATGCAACTTGCAGAAGAGCAAGCCCACCATGAACTTGATCCAAAGTTTGAACCCATCGGATCTAATCCCTACATTATCCCCAAAATGGGTAGGAAAGTGTGTCATTTTCTGTTGGAAAGTACTCAAGTATTATAAATTCTTCAAGTCAATTCATTCAAGTCATATTTCTGATAAAAACGTCATCGATATCCTGAGACAGTTCCCGAGAGTAGATCTTAGGTTTTCCGGGAATCGCAACCGATTCCCGACTTTCGCAGACAGTCTGTCCCCCAAGCGGCAGACGGAAAGTCTCTTAAGAAGTACCGACTATTGATTGACCCATAAACCTGCTACAATTGAGAGCTCTAAGCCGTCATATTTCTTGGCTGATCGTGGGCTCAGAAGTCACTCGAGCACTTCTATTCCCAATTAAAGGAATTGTCAATTTTTAAGGTGTCAACAGGTAAATTAGTCATTGTAAACTCCACCTCGTATCAGTGACTCTTGAGGACTCTTTGTTTTTGCAATAGGGCCGAAGGAGGAGCGGCTAGATCAGAGAGTGCGGCATGTAGCAATGTCACGTTGCAGATCAGAGACACCGATGAGTCGCACAGCCGCAATATAAAGGATAATGTGGCAAAATCCAGACAATTGGTGTCCTTAGCGGCACATCAAATGGTGGAATTGTTTGTTTGCTGTTCTGGGACGATGTTTGGCTGGGACGATGCACTTGACGTTTGCGGGCGGGTCAGGGTGAAAATAAAAGGAATCAAACAAATAGAGACGCGATCCTTCGCTATTGTCTTCCGTAATGCAATTTTTCAACAAAAACCTGCTCGGATCCAATGGATGGAAGTTAAATGTTTGTAATTAATCTGATTTGGCTTTCTTTTTTAAGTCGATTGACATCAACAAATATGTAAGTGGGATTTACTTTTAAATCTTAAAAATCGATTTTCAACAAGAGGGGAAATAATTTTCAAAGGGAAGGCAAATAATTCTGAAAGGTATCAAACATCTTCCCATAAAAGTTTTTTAGGAAAAAAGAAGAAATACATTTTTATACGAAATACATTTTTTAAAGTTTGAAATGTGAAACGTAAATTTAACAGCTTACTCCTGAAATCGTTCTTAGCTTCTTAAGCTTTGCCCCAACCAAGTGATTTTTTAAAATCCGATTTCTTTAAACCAATGCCTTACTTTCCAAAAAATAATGAAGAATATAAAATCTTTGTTTTTCTGGTCTTTACATTATATTGGATTTTTTTCTTAACATGTCTAATTGTTATTTTTAAATTTATTAAATGTTTCGAATCTCGCCGATTAGTCTTTGAAATTTAAAATTTATAGAGTTACAACCAAACCTGGATCTGGTCCAATATTACACTTCATAGGGCCATTAATTTATTATAAAAAAAAATCAAATTTGTTTTGGTTATTTATACAATTTTATTATGTTATTGAAAATTTTTTAGAAGTCAACTTTTAAGAATTTTATGTACTTTGTTTACAAGGCTTTTTACTTACTGCAAGGCTAAAATAAGATGATCGAAGATAAATGCTATGACTAAAAGATAAAATGGACGAATTTGCAGCAATGCAGATTTTGTAATTAAAGGTTTGGGGGCAAAATGTAAAGGTCTGTTAATTTTTAACAGATAAATGGAGAAATTTCCACTCGAATCTACTCGAAATTTGGATGGGTGTTGGGGAAGATACATAGGGACATCGCAGTGGGCCACATGTGTTTTATTTGCATTGTCCCCAAGGGGATCCTCCAGAAAATTTGACAAAAAGTCTAAAAAATATTTTGGTTGTAGATTGTGATTCAGTTTGATGGAGAATCGATCTACAAATAATTTAAGGTATTCCACTCGAGAATTGGATATAGAAGATATGGACTTCGCAGTGGGCCACATGGACCTTCCACGCATTTTCACCTTTTTTAAGGGGCTCTCCAGAAAATTTGACATAAAATCTAAAAAATATTTTGTTTGTAGATTGTGATTCAGTATGATGGAGAATGGATCTACAAATCGTTTAAGGTAATCCACTCGTGTATTGAATGGGTGTTGGGAAAGATTTGGACTACGCAGTGGGTCACATGTGCCTTCTTTTCATTTTCCCCATTTTTTAAGGGGACCCTCCAGAAAATTTGACAAAAAATCTGAAAAGTATTTTGTTTGTAGGTTTTGATGCAGATTGATGGAGAATCGATCTACAAATCGTCCAAGGTATTTCGCTTAAGAATCGGATGGTTATTGGCAAAGATATGGACTTCGCAGTGGGCCAAATGGGCCTTCCTAGCATTTCCCTCATTTTCTAAGGGGACGCTCCAAAAAATTGTCCAAAAAATCTAAAAAATAATTTGTTTTGTAGATTGTGATGCAGTTTGATGGAGAATCGATCTGCAAATCATTTAAGGTGTTCCACTCGAGAATTAGATGGGTATTGGCAAAGATACTTGCAATTTCCCAATTTTTAAATTATTTCACCCATTCCTGAAAAAGCTAAACATAGATGGCGCCAGCTTTGGCGTAGCATACTTTTATGCGCGCTAATGAAAATAGTGCTTAAAAACGCTAGAGGGCTGTAACTTTTCTTTCACAACACTATTTACGAGCCCTGGCACGATTCCGCCAAACAATTTAATTTCCATACAATTTTCTTTCAGTTTCCCGAAAAGCTTAGGCTGCATGTCCGATATGTCGTCGAATAGATTCGTTGTTGAGAAAGCGTTTTAAGCAGTTTTAGGAAAAGTCTAGCTGTCCAAATCAAATATCGATGATCTTTATTGATGGCTGAATTTGAAAAATTCCGTTGAATATGGGGGCGGGGCTCAAGGGTAGTACTAGTACTACTACTAGTAGTAGCTCAAGGTAGAAGAGATGAATACAATTTTTGTGTACTCGGTCTCAACTAAAATGGCAACCCTGCGTGTTTGGTGGAGCAAAGTCGGCACAGTCCGCTCTTGGCCTCGGTCGTGCTCGATTCGAACCAGCCAAGCCACAGTCCACAGGCAGAGCAACCCCACAGCTTCGCGCCCACACACGAAAAACACACAGCGGCCAAGGCACCGAGCCAGTCCGGTGAAGGAAAAGCCAAACGGAAGCGGAAAAACTGAAAGTTTAAAGCCCCGATTAGGGATGAACTGTTAAATATTTTCCGGAAATACGCGTAACTAATTGAAGTGGATTACTTAACTAAAGTGTCGGGCTGGTGAAGTGAAAAGAAAATAAATTGAAAACTCTGGGCTCTTTTTTTTCGCACATGTTTTCCAATGCAACGGTTTTCTTCTGTATCTGTTTTCCGAGAGACCTCAGCCACGGACTGTAATTAACAGAGCCTGGGCCCCAACGTAGCTCCAACGTCTAGTATCCCAGCCGTGCAACAAACGCAAAATCCGAGAAGCACCTACCAAAGGACCTACGAAAATGGTAATAGTGGATGTGTGATTATGAAATCCTCCGCGAAAGGAGGAGCAGGAGCAGGAGCAGGATGCTAGGTGCAGGCTTAATCAGCTGAGACCGTGTTTATCCCTCTATCCGCTTGGCGTGGTGCAAATTGCGAGTCAATTGTTAGCTTTCGTCCTCCCATCCTTGCTAACCTAGTCCTGTTGTGTAGTTTCCGCTTTTGCTTTTCTGCGCCTCCCATTGTCTTGGGCCGTTTGAAGAAAAGCCAGAGCGTGTATGATGTAAGCCGAGGCACCCGTCCTACATTTCCACGTCCCTACCACCCGCCCCCGCTTCCAGTAAGCTCAGCCATTTATTTTTATAAGATAGTCGCTCGACTGCAGCCTCCTTGCCGCCTTTCGGGCGTCATTGACGCCGTCAACGCGGCTGGGACTGGTCCTTTCTCCTCCCCCCTTCCCACTTCCACTCCTCACCACAAGCAGCAGCAAACAAAAACAACAAATGTAACTAACAGCAAAAGTCAAGCGAAAAGCACTACACCACCACCCACTACCCACCGCCCACAGCCCTCTGCCCGCCTGCAGTCCCTTTGCAACCTTACCCAACAGCTCGGAAGAGAAAGAGAGGCAGAGAGAGCGAGAGCTTCGGGGAAGCTCGCTGTGGGCAGGGGACGGATGTGGGGCAAGGGTGCCATAACTGTAAATCGATATTGTGCGGCATGACCGAGTGGCCCACAAGGCGGCGTTCGGTTCATGGGCCTGGACTGGGAACTGGGAGATGGGAGCTGGGAGCTGGGAGCGTGGTTGTGTGGTGGCTTCGTTAGTCACTCAGTCAGCCAGACGCCGACGTGGCCCCCACCATCCCCTCGTGGCTGTCCTCGTGTCCCATCGTGTCGTTTTGTAGTTTGTGGTGGAAAAGCCCACTTGCTCTCGCCATGCCCTCTCAGTCCTGGTCCCTCGCTCTCTGGCAATTGCCTCAAATTTGCGCTGTTATCACACCAGCAACAACAGGCAGTAGTCTGCCTTGCTGCCACCACCACTACCAACAACAACGACAGGACCAACAACAATGGCATCCAAATCGGCAATAACAAAGAAATGTTGCTGAAATTTATTCAAAGACATTTATTGTTGCTTTAGCTTAGCTTGTGTATTGGAGAGCCGCAGGACGATGTCAATGATGTCATCTGGTCCTGTTTTCCCTACTTTCTTTACGGGAATCGCTGTAAATGTTATTCCTTAAGACATGCAGGACCTTGATCTGAAACGCAACGGTGTATAAAAAGGACCATCTTGCCAGGTGACATGGTCTGAGGGGTTCTGTCACTTGTAATGGCTAAACATAGCATCTTGTTGCATTTTCTCAAGTAGTCCTACATTGTTAGACTAAATATTAGAACAAGAAAACAAGAATTAAATTGCAAAAGGAAATTAATTTAAGAAGTTCTATAAACTTTTTAAAATATTTCAGATTTTGAAAAGGTTTCTGCAACCCTTCGATTCAAGTGGGTAGAGCAAGAACCCTCTTCAACCCTTTGCAACAGTGTCTGTCTTTTTTGTGATTGTTGGCTTGCTTCTTGACTTCCTTGACTGCCACCGGCCAGTCACCCATTAAGTACTCGTATTAAATATCAGACAGGTTCAATGGAACAGGGCTAACAACATGATACCATAGCGTAAACTTTTTAGATTTTTTTTACTTCTAAGACCAAGACAGCAAACCCAAACCATTGCATCTTATGTATAAGATTCAACATACCAAGTTCCACGACAATCATTATTCTTTTGAATTCAGTGAGAGTTTAGTCAACTTTCAGTACCACGAGATCCTCCCCAAGACTAAACCCAAGAGTAAACAGTTGACTTTGTTTTGTGCGGTGGCTTTCGGAGCAGTTCCCGCCAGCTAAAGCCTGTTATCGAATTTCCACAGCCAAGCTGCTAAACAAAGCCGGCCCATCAAGCCGCACCGGGGCGGTTAGGTTTCTTATCTGAGCTACTTGTACGCTTTCACTTGGGAGGGGGTACTTCCACGTGAGGAGTGTGGGTACTTGCACTTCCATATGTAAATGAACCTGGCATGTACAGAAACTCCAGGTCTCCTAGAAATGTTCTTCTATGACTCACCTAGATTGTACGCCGCCGATCTCGTCGAGCCCGCATGTGGAACATGGGGCTGCTCTTCCTCATCTACTACTGCGTCAGCATCTATTCCGCCAAGGGCGACACTAAGGAATCCCTGCCCCTGGATGTCGGCAGCCTGGCAGAGGACGCTGGTGATGCAGAATCCAATGGACTGGACATCACAGAAGCCAACGTTCTACCGGATACAACCCCGTTGCCTGAGGTGAGTACTCTGCCGCCTAGATAGACCATAATCTCATACAACATCTTTGTGTAGACCATGTCGACCACACAAGCCACTCCTGCCCATGGAGCAGTTCCCACCTGGCGGCCCAAGCGCGACAACTGCACACCGCCGGCCATCGAACAGTTCCCCCAGCCGCTGATGAACAAGTGGGCGCGGCAGCATGGCGGCCTCATCCTGCACATCCTGGTGGCCGTCTTTACCTTCTTTGGACTGGCCATCGTTTGCGATGAGTACTTTGTGGCCAGTTTGGACCGACTGTGTGAGGGTAAGCTAATAAAGCTATGATGTACATTTGGGATCAATGAAATAGAGTCACTGAGTCATTATCATGCTACTTGGAGTTCTGTAAATGGTTTGGCCTTTCAAAGGTTCCTTTATGATCCTAAAGACCATTAGCTATCATAGTTCTTAATCTCCATATTATTGAAAACTTAAATCTGAGTCTATGTCATTAATCGCGAGTGTATATGATTAAAAATCTATTAATACATCAGCTTAGGTAATACTTAAAGAGATAACGCAATGACAAAATTTTTAAATGAAATATTCTTTAAATTATTGTTCAAATATTAACACATTCTCTATCAAGTTTTCAGTCATTCTTAGTGGAGTTTAATTAGATTAGAAACTTAAACCTTCTCTATCGTTTATCCTACTTTAATTAATAATTCATAAAATAAACTTTAATAATTGTTCCATTTTAGAACTAAAACTATCGCCTGATGTGGCTGGAGCCACCTTCATGGCTGCCGGAAGTTCGGCTCCCGAGTTAGCCACCGTGGTGATCGGCGTTTTTTTCGCCAAGGACGATATTGGAATCAGCGGGGTCATTGGATCGGCCGTCTTCAACATCATGTTCGTGATCTCCGTCTGTGCTCTGTGCTCCGGCACTGTCTGCCAGTTGAACTGGTGGCCCCTGGTGCGAGACTGTTTCTTTTACTGTGTCTCGATTCTGGTCATGCTGATTATAATCTTCAACGACGTCATCTCCTGCGTAAGTTCTCCTAAGAAGCTCAAAAAAGAATCCTTAAATATCCTCTGCTTACAGTTCGAATCGGTGGTGATGCTTCTGTGCTACGTCGGATACTGTGTGGCCCTCCATTTTAACACGGAACTGGAACGTTGGGCCTTGGGCCTTAACCTGCCCTTCAAGCTACCCAGCAAGGAGGAGCAGTCCGCTCTAGTGACCTACAAGAATGTTCCCGAGAGCACCTATACCCAAGGAAGCCACGCCCAAGGGCGGGAGCAGACGCAGCAGACCAGCCTGTCGAAGGAACAAAACGAAGGAATGCCGTCGGAGCCGCAAAGCGACTACCAGAACTACAGCGACCCCAACGCCAGCTGGGACCCGAACGCCGCCTGGGGCGAGGAGAACCAACCGAAACCAGTCGTCAGTGCTAGATCCAATCCGCCGCCGGTCGACGATTGGGGCATGGGCGGGTACAACCAGGGGCAAGGTCAGGAGAACATGGCCTACAATGCCGACCAGCCCGAGTCTGTGGTTACAGGTGAAGCGGCGGCAGCGGCAGCAGCTTCCAAGCCGGGAGCCACCGCGGCGACTGCCACAACTGGGGCCGTTGATTACTACAAGTCCACTGATAAGCAGCGAGAGCCACGGCCCGATCCCCTGATCCGACCCACGGAGGGCGGCCTGCCAGCACTGGTCGCCTGGTATGTGGTCTATCCGATCCACTTTCTCTGCAAGAAGACGATGCCCGATTGCCGACAGGAGCAGTACCGCAACTGGTATCCCTTCACGTTCCTCATCTCGATGGTGTGGATCTCGTTCTATTCGTACTTTATGGTCTGGATGATCACCGTGATCGGGTCCACTCTGGCCATTCCGGACACCGTGATGGGTCTGACGTTTGTGGCCGCTGGCGTGTCCGTCCCGGATGCCCTAAGCTCAATAGCCGTTATCAAAGAGGGCTTCGGCGACATGGCCGTATCGAATGCAATTGGCTCGAATGTCTTTGATATACTAGTGTGCTTAGGTCTTCCCTGGTTCATACAAACGGCCATCATAAAGCCCGGCTCGCACGTCAACGTAATATCCAAGGGTATGTACACTCCCCCGCTAGTCATGTTTGTCCCGTATGTGCCGTAGTGCTCGTCATGTGTCCAACGTTTGTGGTATGCCCAGCATGAGTGTCGTAGCTGTTATCCTAGCTGACGTAGCAGCATCCTTTGCAAAGGATTCGCACTAATCTCCTAGTTCTTTCTCTCCTAACCCTTTTTTTCGCAGGTCTGGCCTACTCCACGCTGTCACTCTTCTCCACCGTTGTCTTCTTGATCCTGTCCACGCACCTGAACGGGTGGAAGCTGGACAAGCGACTGGGCATCATCCTGATGGTCTGGTATCTGTTCTTCATCACGCTGGCGTCTCTCTACGAAATGAATGTCTTCGGCTACATGAACCCACCCGAGTGTCCCAGTGAGTCTCCCCAGGCCCCCAAAGAACCTAAAACTTTAAAAAAATATGTTTTTTTCTTGCAGGCACTTACTAAGCCCCGAAGGACTATGGCAGCATGCACTTATATATTCGCATTACCAGCACCAAGTACCATATACATAGATGCATACCACACATATATATAGAGTCGTTCATAGCCGCAGTTAAAGTAAGACCATCAAATATTGCAACCAAAAACCTAAAGTCAATGGGAATTAAATGAAGTTGAATGGAACATTTACCTAACGTTTATTAGAGGACAGGAATATTACTCAAAAGGCATTTTACATGGATTTTTACATTGCACCAAAAGGATCGAAGGACGAGGGAAGAAGGAGGAGGATAAACCAAAAGATAAATTATATATACATGTATATTATATTTATTAATATGTATTTAAATTATATTTAGGCAATTAACAAACCGTATATGTACAACAAAACGAAAAGTATACATAAATGATAAATAGAACTGTAGATAGGGAGACAAAAATATATGTAACTAAAACCATGAGAACCAGAAACAAAAAATACTAGCAGTGGTCGCTAACTATTTTAGTAGCGAGGAGCTTGTTAAAAAGGATAACTCGAATCGAATGCACTCCAATTATGATTTCACAACGATATCCTTGGTCAATGACCTGTAACATGTAATTACCGACTTAGTTTTAGTTTAGAGACATTTCTGTAAAAAGCCCCCTTATGGTTTATAGGCCCAAACACCCAAAAAGTGGGTTTCTGCTTGGTCGACCTCGAGAACTCATATGATGAAATCAACCGACCAGTTGCGCCGAATCCGAGCGCCGTGGAAAATGAGCAACGAATTCTTGTTATAGTTTATATTATATGTTTTGTTTTAGATCATACCACGAACAAAGAATGAATTAAAAGTGTGCATATTTTTTTATATATTTAGTCTAACGATCGAAGCGATAATTTAACGGATCCACACGAAATAAATACGTTTAGAAATACATATAATACGTCCTGGGTTTGCCGAATACAACTTAAAACTTATCAAAAAATAGCAATGAAATTTAAAGTGCAAGGATACTTAATCTCGAGGCAATTAATCGTGTCAATTTTTTATTGCAATTAATATTAATAACAAACAATATTAAATATATATTATAAAACGAGTATTGTGCATTTAAAGTCAATATGTGATGAATTTTAGCACCCTATTAAGTCCTGTTTCCGATTCAATTGTATTTTTTTTTCAAATATTTGTTTAAAAACTTTTCAACTTTTAAGGTTTCAAAATATGAATCTGGTGAAAGTATTCAAGTTTTGAAATTTTGTGCGGGAACAGAAATGACATAATTTTCTTACATGTCCTGAAGCTATAGTACTTCAAAGTATATAAGCTTAACATTGGAAAAAAGGTTGCACCAAAAGGTCTATCTTATAGCCATATTTAATGGATCATATGGACTGTAGTCTTGAACGTAAAATGGTGCAATTTAAGTCAATGAAAAATCAAAAGTAAATATCTGTATGCTCACATTTAAATTGCTTTATGAATTATTTTTTATAAAAATCTAATATAATACCATATAGTCGAAAGGTACACTAGTTAATGCTTCGAAATTGTTTGTTGTTAGTTTCTTATTAAGTATGCAACAAGAGAACACAGTTACACACAATTACTTGGTAGCCACTAATCGAAAGGTTTTGCACACAATTTAGGCTCTACGATTATGGTAGAGTCCTCCCTGCAACCCAACCCAGATCGAATAGCAGACGTGTCGCCAGATCGCAGTATCAGTATCAGAATGTTAGCTGAAAGCAATGTGTAAGACAAATATACATATATGTACATCAAGATATATTCATGTAGCATACAGGATGTAAATCTTATTTACGTAGTGAGCACTGCACTGCTATAGACTCGCTCAAATCATAAAACATCGACATATTTATACAAAAAACAAAAACATACACACATATATGAGAAAAAGCAACTAAAACCTAATGTAAATGCCTACCATATGTCGAAGCAAATGCAATTAAACTGAATTCTATCAGTTATCCCAGCCAACTTCCTGGAGCTACGCAATCCAATGAAACAGAAATACATACCTAAACGGAAACCAACGTAAAGTTATACAACCACACGTAAGAACAATCGCCTTTCGAGAATCCCTACGTACCCATATAGCTATAACTCAGTAACTCTATCAAACTTAAGTACCATAAGTGGCTGCTCTTACCACAAGTACAAGGTTCTTCCCAACTCTATGAAATAATTAATTGAAACTTTTTTATTCCGAACGTATCGACGACCCATTAAGTTCATGAAAGTACTTCCACAGGACACTCTAGCCCAGTGGACCACATGATGTCTCAGTTCTGTACAATAAGAAAACCTACCCAAACTAGTTCAAATATGCTATGCCGTGAAGTATAAACTCAAATTAGTGTTTCAATGAAAGTTATAGAGAAGATTGAATAATCGTTTAATCAGACGTTGAAGAAATTATCCGTTTTAATAAGCTATTGAAGTTGGACTTAGAAGTCGAGATTCTATTGGAATTATTTAAAATGTGCATATGTATGTATGTATATCTTGCGAGATTCGAATCAAACCTACTTCGTGTTACTTTTAATTGTATCTATATAATAGATTCCTTTACTTTATATAATTACCAACGGTCGAGAGGAAAGGATAAACATAACACTGCTTAAGCAAAGGATTCTTTCCTTGAGCAAAACATATACTATGTACAATAAATATTAAATTGTCACATTTACTTACAAACATACATATGTATAACTAAAACGTGCTACGGAAATCCAATACAATATATGTTTACATCTGACATTTGTGTTAATTGCGACTATAATTGTTTACAAAAACTATATAAAACCTATCATATTTAATTGTGAAGCGTGTTTAAAATAACTTTGAAATGGCAACTTACACATTGTTGTGGGATTTAAACTAAAAACATCAAGTTAATTATATAAAAACTAATGCTAATATACAAAACTGTTGATGTTATGTTTAGTCAAATAATGAATTCCAGAAATAAATGCATAATATAAAAAGGTTTTCCTTTCTTCTCAGATTGTTTACGCAATATTGGGTCGGAATCGGGATACATATTGGTTTATTGGAAGAAAGGTATAGAGACTTCGACAAAAATCGAATTTGACAAAAATTTGAAAAGTATTTCTTTAAATCTACAAATCGTGTAAGGTATTTTACTCGAGAATCGGAAAAGTGTTGGCAAAAGTATGGACTTCGCAGTTGGGCACATGGGTCTTACTTGCATTGTCCTCATTTTTAAGAGGATCCTCCAGAAAATTTGACAAAAAATCTTAAAAATATTTTGTTGTTAGGTTTTGATGCAGATTGATGGAGAATTGATCTACTTTAAGGTATTCCGCTAATCGGATGGTTATTGGTAAAGATATGGCATTTCCTGGGGACCATATTGTCCTTCCTTGCATTTTCCCATTTTTGAAGGGGACCCATCAGAAAATTTGACAAAAAATCTCAAAAATATTTTGTTGTTAGGTTTTGATGCAGATTGGTGAAGAATCGATCTACAAATCGTTTAAGGTGTTCCTGTTCGTTGACAAAAAATCTAGAACAAAAAAATTTTTTGGTGGTAAATTGTGTTGCAGTTTAATGAAGAATCTATCTGCAAATCGTTCAATGGATTCAAAATTGCAAATCGTTCCTCTCAAGAATCGGATAATAATTAGCAATGACACGGCCTTCCCAGTGGGCCACATGGACCTTCCATGCATTTTCAAAATTTTTAAGAAAATTGCTTGTGTTTTTTGAAAACTTTTTTCTATGAAAGTGTGGTGGATCGTTTTGATCTTCTTGATATGGTTGTTCCGGACGTAAACCCGCCTAAGTCCAATATAAAAATATATATTGGATGCGGTGGCCTCTGTCAAAGAAACATGCGGTATGGAATTTTTATTTAAAATTTCCACATACTCCCCATCGTTGATATTTTTGTGATAAAAAATTCTGAAAGCTTAAGCACCTGGCAAGCCCAGCTGTTACGGCCCTGAGCAGGCGCCAAAGCTCTCTCTTCTACTTCGGCAAACTTCGGGAATCGTTGTCAAAACCCCGAACGACGTGCGGCCGCGCGGGCCAAGTCTGGGCACCGCCACCGCTGATTAAACATTCGAAAAATTTCACTGCCAAGTATCGGTTCGTAAGTTTCTTTCTTTCTGGACATAGTCAATTTTCTCCGCGCACACACACACACACACTCCCAACGAGTAAACACTCCAGATACACACGATTGTGTGTTTGTTCGCTGCTACCTGCTACCTGTTCTTTAATTGTTGGGAGTGCGGAGGCCTCTTGCGCCACCGATAAGCTTATGGATTTATCAATATTTTATCATAATCAGGGTCAAATTATATAACGGCACCTATTTTGAAATGCGCAATCGGAGGAGGCGGTTCTGACAACTGGCCATCAAATTTGGAAATCAAAAAAATATAAGTAAAGCAAACAAACATGTACAGGCGGAGCTATCAAGGTATCAGTGAACGCACATACAGAAGAATGTGATTGTGGGTGTGCGTGGAGAGGCCCTCTTGCCAATACTTGTTTACGCGATAAGGCGAAGCGGTTGGGTCAAGAATAGCAGCTGATAAGCGGTGCACCCAGCGCCCGAGATAACATAAAAAATGTTTAGTTTGGTTGTGGCATAAACGAAAACGAATAATATAAAATTTTGGAACTCACTGATAACCGTGTGATCTTTGCAGGCACAATCAATCGACGGTCCTCCGAATACCATGAGCCTTCTTCCGAGAGTTGATATCGACAAGCCCAAATATGATCAGAATACGTACGAGGGCAGGGCCAAGCACTTCTTCCTGGTCACCAACCCGCTCAATATTTTCACCACCAACGCGAAACTGGAGGAGGCCCGACGTATTGTGCTGAATTACAGAGCCGGCAAGGACGTACCAGAGTGCAAGACAATCGATGATGTGTGGCGCGCCAAGTACCTGTACGATTCCGCCTACCATCCGGAGACGGGCGAAAAGCAGTTGATCATTGGGCGCATGTCGGCACAGGTCCCCATGAACACGATTATCACCGGCGGTGAGTGCCGTATTCAATTTAGGCTATTTAACCATTTGCTTCCGCCATTTGATTAATTCGGGTATTATGTTTTGTTGTCCCCAGGGATGATGGCCTTCTACAAAAGCACGAGCGCCGTCGTCTTCTGGCAGTGGTGTAATCAGACGTTCAACGCCATTGTCAACTATACGAACCGTTCGGGCTCATCGCCCATCAGCAAGCCGTAGGTACCTGATCCGCAGTAGAAGTGCGCCTGTTCTAAGTTAAATCGCTCTGCCTATAGGCAACTGATTACCTCGTACTGCTTGGCAACCGGAGGAGCTCTGGTCACGGCGCTTTCCCTGAACCGGGCCGTGAAGAATATGAACCCTCTTCTGGGCCGCCTGGTACCCCTCGTCGCTGTGAGTGCTGCTAATTGTATCAACATTCCCTGCATGCGGATGCAGTAAGTATTAAATAGCTACAGAAAATAAGTTCTGAAACAGGTGTGTCTTTCAGGGAGCTTCAAAACGGTGTGGTGCTGCTGGATGATAAAAACGATACGGTGGGCATTTCCCAAAAGGCTGCATGTCTAGGCATCTCGGCAGTCATCCTCAGTCGGATTTCAATGGCTATTCCTGGAATGAGTAAGTGGCTCGACTTCTTATAAGTGCAATATTAAATTACAAGGTTTATTTTTTCTAGCACTTACGCCGATGCTTATGAATGTTCTTGAGAAGAGGGGCTTCCTTTCTAAGTACCCGCGCTCCAACGCTCCCATCCAGGTGCTCTTCTGCGGTTTCGTGTTGATATTTGCCACGCCCCTCGGCTGTGCATTCTTCAAGCAACGTGCAGAAATCAAGGTGGACAACCTTGAGGAGAATCTTCGTGACAAGATCAAGAAGGATCGTCCCGAATTGGACACAGTATACTACAACAAGGGCCTGTAACAAGGGATAACATTTTTTTCAAAGAGGCACATGTTTATTTCCTCGCAGTGCATTTATTAGCATTTCTGTTTGCGTCGCATGTTGAGTTAAGTTTTAAATACTCTTGAGATTATTACTAGCTTACGTACATATATTTATCGCGAATTCTCAGGCAAATATGGATGGATCAAGATATACCTGGCTGAATGTAATGTATGTGTAAGAATAGATCGAAACGTGAAAAAACAATAAATTTATGTTATTTGTTGAATAAGTAATTTGTTTTCAATTAGATCTGTTTTAAGCGTATCAATATAAACATTCGTTTTCCTTTTTGAGTTTAAAATTTTAAAACTATTTTTGAATAATTTCCAGTTGTTTCGCCATCGGTAGATTCTAACAGTATTCCAATGTGACCAGCTTGGAAATCGTCGATAGTACAACTATCGATACTTCGTGAAGAAAGTGCATACACAATCGCAGCTTGTTCATATCTAACAGACTATCTGCTCATCTCGGCTTGAGCGGAGTTTTGTTTTTATTTAATTCAACTTTAATTTAACGGTTTGTTTATATAATTTATATTAAATTAATAATAAAATATCTGTTTGGTTTGGTGAAATATATTTGTGCAATATTACCGTGTCCCCGAATTAGATTTAACGCCGTTTAATTAAGGGAGTCGAAATCCCAATTAAGGTGTGGTTGGCTGGTTGACTAAGAGACTTTAATTAGAATGGGCGGGGGCGCTTGAAAAATAAACAATCTAATTATTTTATAAAAAAGCTATGCTCTCGTGTGCGTTTTAAGTATAAAAAGTTATTTTATCGTAAAAGCAGAAGTTATTATTGACACATTTTGTGAGCTAGTAATCCAAGCTTATGACCACGCCTAATCAGACTCACTCCACGGACACAGACACACATCGACACGTATTGGTTCACTAACACTAATTGGCTAGGGGTCGGTGGATTTGTTTACAAACCTATTGTTTACACCTTTTATTTTCGAAAATAAACAATTGATTCAATTATTGCAGATTTAGAAAAATGTGCTTTGGTGTGTTGGAAAGCTACAACTGAAGAAATTTTCACGCTATTCCAAGTTTTCATCAAGTTCAATATGACACGCAGAGGTCTCTATTTTCTTGGCCTCATAGCGCCCTTTTTATTGGCACTGGCAACCGCTCAACTGCCAGGGGAACTGCCCTTGGGCCAGCCCGAGCAGGGACAGCCGATGCAGCCGCAGACATATCAGCCGACCTACAACAAGGACTACACGCCACGCTACAATCCGTTGTACACTGGCCAGCAGACCGGACCAGACACCACCCAGTTCGACAATCCTCTCCTCGACAACCGGAACCCCAACGCTTACAATCCCAATGGCTATAACACTTATGGAAACCGAGGATTGGGCTCTGGATCGCTAGATCTCGGAGCCAATGTCGGTGGACCTGGAAATAATCTTGGAGGAGGACTCGGTATTGGCCCGCAGTACGACCCGTTCAACAGAAACACCGTCGGCACAGCACCAGGAGTTGGATATCGCGACATTTTTAGCGACGAGGACAACTTTTGCCCGGAGTACTGGGTATCATTCAGGCAAACCTGCTACCGGTTTATCCGATCCCCTAAGAGAAATTGGGCGGAAGCGAAGAAAATTTGCAAAGCATACAATGCAGATCTGATCAACGTGGACAATGTGGAAAAGCACGCATTTATACTCAAGAATCTCATTCTTCAGAATCAGCGGCAGAACCGATTCTTTATATCCGCCCGTCAGACAGGCCCACAAAATTGGGTCAACGATGACAACACCCAACTCGTACAAATAGAAGACTCGTTTGCTTTCGATGAGCAGATCCCCTGGGAGAACGAAGACCTGCACGACAACCGATTCCTGGTTCAGAACGACCTAAACAACCAGAATCTCAATAATCCGAATCAGTTTTATAACCCCTTGCCGGGAAATGTAAATCAACGCAATCAGAACAACATACGCGGCTTCATAGGTAAGTTTTTAAAATCAAAAAAGAGTTCTTTTAAATACGATTTTTCTCTTTAAGGTCCAAATCAACCGTATGGCGAGAATGGTTACGCTCGAGACCGCGTTGTCTACGCGTTTTCCAAAAAGCGCGATCGATGGATGTTCATGCCGGCGTACGAAATCGAATTGAATCTCTTCATCTGCGAATCGAAGGTTCTCTACAGTCCAGACAACGTTAACATCAAGCTAGATGACAAGCGTCCCTACCACTACGGCCTCGACATCCGTGACATGGAACGCATACCGAGGGGTCCCTATTTCGTGAAGCAACCCAATGATACCATCTTTGACGTGAACAAGAATCGTGTAATCAATGATGTAACCTTGAGCTGCCTGGCTGGCGGTTTTCCCACGCCCTCATACCTGTGGTACCGCGAAGTGTACGTTAACGACACATTGGAGTACCAAAAGATCGATCCTTTGAAGGAGGACCGCTACACTATTTCGGGAGGCAATCTGATCATATATGAACCGAAACAGGCATTGGATCAAGGTGCATACCATTGCGTAGCAGAGAACAAATTCGGACGCGTGCGCTCTGAAAGTGCGCATCTTAATTTTGGCTTCATAATGGAGTTTAATCTGAAGCGCTCTGGCGAGACAAGCGAGATGAACTGGGGCAAGTCGATATTTTGTGACCCACCTCAGCACTATCCAGACGTGCGTTACTACTGGTCGCGAAACTACTTCCCCAACTTTGTGGATGAGGATCAACGTGTTTTCGTGTCCCGTGACGGCGCTCTTTACTTCTCCTTCATCGAAACTGTAGATCGAGCCAACTATTCCTGCACTGTGCAGACCTTGGTATCAGACACCGGTCGCAACGGTCCCTTCTTTCCGCTGCGCGTGACGCCAAACAGTAATTACCAGGCTTTGATATTCGCCAACACCTTCCCCAAGGTGTTCCCAGAAGCACCGGTCGCCGGCGACGACATTCATTTGGAGTGCATGGCTTTCGGTTATCCGATTCCATCTTACAACTGGACCCGTCAAGGGCAGCACTTGCAGCGCAACTCGTACGTCACCAACTATGGTCGTGTTTTGGTCATCCAGAACGCCACCACGAACGACAACGGAGAATACACCTGCACCATCACCAATCCTCACAAAACATTGGTCAAAAGCATCCACCTAAACATTCAGATGCGTCCCGAGTTCACGATTCCTCTCAAGGACATGATCAAAGATTACAACAGCGACGTCACCTTTATCTGCGAGGCTTTTGCCATCCCGGACGCAAACTATACCTGGTACAAAAATGCTGAACGACTAGATCCCCTCAACATCAATCGCGACCGCTACATAATCCAGGACAATGTGCTAACCATTAAATTTTTGGAAAAGGATAAGGACGAAGGCATGTACCAATGCGGTGCCCAAAATCAGCTGAAAACTTCTTTCTCCTCGGCGCAACTCCGAGTCCTTTCCATGAAACCGTCCTTTAAGAAGCATCCTCTCGAATCCGAGGTATACGCCGTCTACAATGGCAACACCACGATTGTTTGTAATCCTGAAGCTGCTCCGCGTCCTAAGTTCCAATGGAAAAAGGATGGCCAGCTCTTGGGCTCCGGTGGCCATCGGCGCATCCTGCCAAGTGGTACCCTGACTATAGCACCTACGTCCCGGGATGATGAGGGAGTCTACACATGCATTGCCTCAAATCAGGCCGGCACGGATGAGTCCTATGCTCGCGTTATTGTGCTGCGTAAGAGATGCCTATTTATATTGCCACTTGTAGCTTAAATCTTACAAAAATAATGTTTTTTTCAGAGGAAATTCGGTTCATTCAAACCCCACCCCAGCGTATTGTTACGAAGGAACATGACCTAATCTACCTTCACTGTGAGGCGGCCTTCGACGAGTTGCTGGACATAGCTTATGTATGGAAACATAACGGGGAGATCCTAAAGAACAATCATGATGGCACCGGACGCATTGTAAGTAGACTGCCTTATGCTTCCTCTAGCAGTGCACTGACTGTAGAATTTCAGGTTGTGGAATGGAATAGCTTGACTGTGCACAACACCACCATGCGGGACGCCGGAGACTATGAGTGCGTTGTCAAGTCGGCAGTCAATGAGATCAACAGTAAGACCAGTGTGGTCATAGAAGGAGCTCCAGGCGCTCCCGGTGGAGTTCAGGTTATTCAGATCAGTAAAACAAAGGCTATTATTGAATGGGTAGACGGGTCTAACAACGGCCGACCCATTCGCTACTACAATATCCTTGGACGAACCAACTGGAACCGAACCTGGGTGAATGTGTCAACCCACGTGCAGGCGCGTGAGGTTGATCGATACACTTCTCGTCAGCAGGCAGAAGTGATTAACTTGACACCCTGGTCGGCGTATGAGTTTAGTGTAACTGCTGTGAACGATCTGGGCATCGGCACACCTTCCGCTCCGTCGCCGATCTACAGCACCTATGAAGACAAGCCGTACATCGCGCCCAGAAATGTGGGCGGAGGTGGTGGCAAGATCGGTGACCTGACCATTACCTGGGACCCACTGTTGCCGCAAGAACAGCACAGTCACGGCATTCACTACAAAGTATTTTGGAAGCTAAAGGGCGCCCTGGAGTGGGCTTCAGACGAAATTAACAAGCAGGACCACACTGGCGTAGCTGTGGTCAACATTCCACTCAATAACTATTATACTGAGTACGAGGTTAAGGTTCAGGCCATCAACAGTATTGGAAAGGGTCCAGAGAGTGGAATTGCGGTCATACACTCTGCCGAAGACATGCCGCAAGTAGCTCCACAGAAGCCATTCGCTCTTGCATTCAACTCCACCTGCTTTAATGTCACCTGGCAGCCGATTGACATGTCCCGTGAGAACATTCGCGGCAAATTGATTGGTCATAGGGTAAGAATCCTTGTATCTCTCTCTGATTTAGTTATTAACCAGTTTGAGTTTAGTTGAAGTATTGGAAGACCACTCACCAAGAGGAAGACGCCGTTTACTATCTATCCCGCACCACAAGAAACTGGGCCCTGATCGTGGGTCTGCAGCCGGATACATACTACTTTGTTAAAGTTATGGCTTACAATGCTGCTGGAGAAGGCCCAGAGAGCGAACGCTTTGAAGGTAAGGCGCATAAAACACCTAAAAGAAGACCAATACTGATATTAATGCAATTCTTTATAGAACGTACGTATCGCAAGGCCCCACAGAAACCACCATCATCCGTACATGTATATGGAATAAACCCATCTACGGTACGAGTTGTATGGCGCTACGTATCGCCCTCGCAGGATGAGGAACCGGTCGAAGGCTATAAGGTAAGCAGAAAAAAATATCGCTGAAAGCAACATTAACTAATAATTCCTTCATTGTTAGGTTCGTATTTGGGAGACGGACCAAAACATGATCACAGCCAACAATACCATAGTGCCAATTGGCCAGAAACTGGAGTCCTACATCAACACTCTAACGCCAGGAAAGAGCTACAACATGCGAGTCCTCGCCTATAGCAACGGAGGTGACGGCCGGATGTCAAGTCCAACGCTGCGCTTCCAAATGGGAAAAACAACGCGTAATGCTGCAAATACGCGTCATGGCCATAACATTAACACGGCCCTCATTTTGAGCACGTTACTGTTCATCTCCACATTTTTTTACACCCAACATTGAACGGAGCACAAAATCTGAATGCAGCTAATCAGGCAGCTAGAAACAAAAACGTCCAAGATAAGAAGGAAGCGCACAGCCTCATAGTTTACCATGAATCCAAGAGTCTCTTTTTTTAAGTGGATATACCGATCAACATTCCGTTTTAATTTAAAAACCTTAATATAACCAAAACGAATTAAGCGATTTAGGCAGTTTTTGAAAGCCTATGCACCGAAATGATAGTTCATACATATGATAACTAATTAGGAAAGTGACCTTATATAAGATTAAGTAGCCCAAAGGGGGAACATTGTAACTTTTACAGTACTTTTTGAGAGTATTTTGGATTCAACAACGAAAAAGTCTATTAGAATAAGATCAAATTCCGTTCGCCATGATTTAATGTGTCTTTGTAATGTATTTCCGTCCAATTTAAAAGTTTATTGAAAAAAGAAATAAATTTGTATTTTTCGTACCAAATATATTTTAACGCATTTTTATTCAGACATTTTTATAGTTTTGAAATGATTATTTTGAGACATTAAATCTATTAAAAGATTGTGGGCTTAATTTATGCAGTAAATGACTATTCAAAAATGAGTCACAACCATAGACTCTACATTGAAAATCATTTCTTAATAAAAAGTTGTTTAAAAAAAGGAAACAAAAAAATTATTTTTGGTAGCAGACACTTTTTTTATTTTATAAATAAGCGAATGATGGTTAATATCCGGTACTTTTAAAACTTTCATCTTCATTTTTATTCAAATAGCATTTAAATAAAAGAAAACAATATTTAGAAATTGCAAAATATAATCTTAGATATTTTTTGTGTAAAAACTTTAAAATAAATTAAAAGTAATATATTTAATTTGAATATTTATATTTTTGAACGCTGTGTTGAAGCCCTTTTATATCGAAATAAAAATAAGAATTTCCCCATCTCTATGTCTATGTGACCGTTTTTGTTTTTGTGTCTCAGCCCGTAAAGGAATAAAAGATAGCACTGTTTCTGCACAAAAAGTATAATTAAAGCTAATATGATTTTATAACGCATGCCAGTTCGATCTGGACTCCTGAATAGACGAACAATTGATCCGCCCACGGTACCCAAGACAACCGGCGGAAGGTGAGCACAATGTCCAAGACAAACGGCTGGAATGGGTGTGGAGCGGGAACGCACGGAAATGGGAGCAGTACCTCCTTGCAATCGTCTCCTAAATACTTGCGCACCACAGAACTCCGTCGCGTTGAGGACAATGATATTTACCGGCTGTCCAAAATCCTTGACGAAAACGTCGGTTGGCGCAAGCTCATGTCGATAATACCAAGGGGTCTGGATTCACAAGCTTCAAGCCCTGCCGGTGGTTTAAACTATCCAAATGCTATAAAGAAAGGGTACAAGTACACAACTCAGGACGCTGTTCAAATTGACGAGGCGGCTAACAGATTAGCGCCCGACCAGAGCAAGTCCGAGATTATGATCGATGAGTGGAAGACCTCTGGAAAATTTCAAGAGCGCCCAACCGTGGGTGTCCTGCTTCAGCTCCTGGTTGAGGCGGAATTGTTCAGTGCAGCCGATTTCGTAGCGTTGGACTTTCTTAATGGTAAGCTTGGCTTTAATTCTGATGATTTCTTATCTCAAACAATTATCGTTTTGATTTTTTTTTACAAAAGAGCCCAAGCCAGATCGCCCCTCCGATGGACCAGCAGCACCTATAAGTCTGGACCTATCGGAACTTCTTGACGAAGACATGGATGTTGACGGCGAAGGACCGAATCCGAGTCCTGCAAATCAGGCTGCCCTGGGAAGCATTGGCCTTAATTTGGACAACTTTGACAAGCATATGATGTCGCGGAACAAAAGCCTGCCCCAACCGTCTGAGACTGTTCCTCCCATAGCACCGCCCCGTGCCTCTCGTCTGCATAGGGACGCTACCAGCTCAAACATTGCCACCGAATCGACTGCGACCGGGTCTACGTCGGCAACCACGCCCAATATACCTAATCTAACAATTCTCAACCGCACCGAACAATTGGCGGAGCAGGAGAATCAGCCTCGACCGCAAAACATCCCAAATTTGTCGATACTCATAGCAAACTCAACATCTTCAATAACAACGAATTCCACTTCTTTGGGTCCTACAAACAGTCAGGATAGCTTAGTTGGCACACCAAACATACCCAAAATTACGCTGTTGATTGAGAATTCTGCCCAGATAAGACCGCCAGCGACTGAAGCAGCGGAAACGAGCTTAAACAATTTGCCCATGATAAGCGCTTTAAATCTGAATAGCAACAATGGAGGGGACTCGCCCCCTAATAGTAGCAGTTCAAGCAGCCTGAGTAACGACGAAGACGAATGTGATGCTGATGACCCGGATGCTTCACTACAAAATCTGAGCACCTCGGAGCAACAGAACTCAAACAATGATTCCAGCTTGACAACGGTGACTGGCACCAGCGGTGATAACAGCTTCGAAATGACCAACGACTCTAGTTCGACTTCGAACGACGAATATGGCGGAAATATTCCAAACCTGAGTGAACTGCATTCGTAGGCAAATTTCCGGATGCGCCCGTCCATACAAACGATTTCCACATGAGAGACATTCCGTTATACAAACTAGCTTAAGTTTTATGTTATTCATCCTGCATGTATTTGATGTTTGCCGACGTCGGCGTGTAAATGTGGACCTGGTCATCTTGTGCCGATTGCACAAGATTCCATAGAATCTAAGAACTTTGAGGTACTATTGTTTTTTTTATCCATATCACGGCTACTGACATAGTCCATGACAAGTGCGGCGATATCAAATATTTCCGTTTCAAGCAAGCCATAAGCCAATAACCTATTGTGACGATTTTTGTATCTTTTACTAAGTACACATTGTTTTCATGTATAAATATACTGAAAAAGAAATATTGTTTTATTAACTTTATTCGGTGATATGAATTATGCAATTAAAGCCGCAGGATGCCTTAAGCTTAACAGCCGTTCTTCCGGCTTCATCTTAAAGACCAATGTCGGAGTAAATTCAATAATGTTTCTTATCTTTAAGCTTCGTACTTCAATGTGATAAAATAGTTATAGGAATATTAGCGAATATTTAATATATTCTCTGGCAAGTTAAAAAGATTTACTAAAACGTATTAGAGAGGAAAAAAAAGTTTTGAATAATGATTTTCTAGTTTATTTTCCGGTTTACCCTATTTACATTCTACTTACATGCTTATTTTACACGGGAGAAATGTAAAAAAGTTTCCTGACAGTAAATATGTAATATACATATGACGTATAGTATCCCTTCATAGGGCCAAGATGAAATAAAATATTATTTTTATCTTATTTATAGAGCCGATTAATCAACTAAAATATCATTAAAAAAAATAAATTTCCAATATTTGGGAATAAATCTATAAAACGATTAATTGTTTTATTTTTAAACAAATATCGATATGCAACAACCCTGAAACTCCTAGACTAGACCACCTCGCAGCGCCTCTTGGCTATTTTAATAGGAATTCAGCCAAAATTATTCGCAATATGGACGAATCGGAACTGCTTTTCAACCTGTTCTATTTCCTATTCTGTATGGTCATCATATATCCGCCCGAAGAGTTCCAGCGTCTGGGCTTCACCATTGAGCAGCTGTTCGCGCGGTTCCTGGGTGACGAGTACCTGGACTTTGTGGGATATCATCTCCGCCGAACTTCGCTAAATCTCTTCGTGCACTCCTGCCTGCCGTTCTCTTACTTTCTAATTCACAGACTCAAGTTTTCCGTCTTCGCCAACCAAGAACCCCTCGAGGATTCTGAGCTCGACCCTGATTTTCCTATGCCGCAGGAGGCAGTTGCTTTTAAAACGCTTACTTGGAAGACTGCGCAACGGTTTAGTGTACTGGCCGTACTGGCTGTTCCCGCTCTAATTTTTAACTGGCATCAACAGAACTGGAAACGGCATCCAATCAACAAGACCCTGTCCAAGTACTCGAACTCACAGGGAAGCTACAGTGCTGTGGCCCGCGACATTGGAACCGAGTTCCGTAGACCGGAAATATACAAAAAGAAACTGAACTCTATCAGCACTGTGATTGCAACCGAAAACTGGATTGTCAAGACTACGTTGTACAATGTCCACTTTGCTCACCAGAGCAACACCGCGCTTAGTGTAGCCAAGGTCAGTTACATCAGTCTCCTTTATTTCGAAGCTGGTATATTTTAATTTCGTTACAGGCGGAGACGTACAACATCTCGCACCACGACCAGAACGACACATTGCAGATGATCAGCATCATAGTGCGGCCGATGCGGCAGGGCGTATCTGATTTTCACATTCGGATCAACGCGCTGGAGTTCAGAAATCTGGAGGACCGTGTTAGACGACCCATCTCCATTCCTTCCAACATACAGTTCCACCGGAACGTCATCGATCGTTTTGTGGATGTGTTCAAGGCCCAAGTCGCCCTCAACCCAGTCTTTCGCGCGGATGCAACGACGGACAAGTGCTTCGCGTGCATGCTGAACGAACCGAACACCAAGATCCACAAGCAATGCGCAGACGTGGATCGCAACGGCGCTCCCCTAGCAGAGGAGGCTTGCTGCTCCAACTGCTACTGTCGGCCAATGTGGTGTGTTGAGTGCTTGGCCCGGTGGTTTGCTGCACGCCAAACGGATGTGGATCGGGAGATGTGGCTGGAGCAGAAGTGCACCTGCCCGATGTGCCGTGCGAAGTTCTGTGTGCTGGACGTAAGCTATATTAGAGAATCTGATACGGCATCAGCGACCCAGCCCAGCGGGACTACATTGTCGTGATTCGATACTCGGTTAAGGTAACTGATAGACAGCACAGAACTCTTAAATTGAACCTCGTTCTTTATTGGTCAGATACAATTGTAACCACTTTGACTAAATGTAAGACTTACAATAACATAGATATAAACTTAAAGATATGCATATAGTTTAGTGCAATTATCACGATTTAATACTTTTAAAATCTAAGCAAACTAGCATGCAGGAGATAAGAATTTTTCTTAAGTACGATCGTTCCAAGCATGGAAAGAGATAAGTGATTGTGTGCTCACATGCCTTATTAAATATTAAAACCAAGGGACATCAGATCATTTGCGCAAAGAGTATCGTCTTCCCTAAACTATTGCAATAAGTCCCTTGCCTTTCCACCTTTCCATCTTTGCCTATCTCACCAGAATCTGAAACAATAAAGCGTCATGCCATGCTATATGTGCATGACATTGTAGACTATATAGGGAATACGAATAGAAAGTATAGCCAAAAGCTTAAGATGTCGTCTATCTATAAATTCGTTTCGTAAAAACTTTTATAGCTTTCCGCCTTGTCGCGTTGACTTCGTGTCGATGTTCCTGTCATCGTGGAGGACCCTGAAGTTCCATTGGGCGAGGGCTTCGACATAGCACTGTTGGAAGTGTTTCGCGCCGAAATCTGCAAAATAAATTGCTTATTAAACAGAGCTGTCAGAGGTATAAACGAAATAATAGATGCAGTAAATTTGCCCAAAGAAAGCCACTTATCGTCACTGGTCACAACAATCACAGACGCTCAAAACTAATCAGAAGACATGTTCCATCGTCAGTTTATGACTTAGCACCTGATTTTAATCAATGCTCCAACGCATTTATTCAAAAAGCTTTCTTGACAGGTTGGCGTAGAACCGTGCACAGCCACTTATTGGTGTATATATAATTCGTTCCCCATAGAACGAACCATACTCCCCTATGTTAGCCAGTGACAACGGGTTGCGATTTGTTGCTATATTTTTTGGGTATTGGTTTTGGTGTATCGATAAGAAGGTTTTTATTTTCAATATCTGATAGTGATTACTGAAGAGTCTTCCATATGGCTGAACTAATAAAAACTTTCGAGTACGATTCGGGAATTATTTTGCTGCCTATTTCCTATTGAAATTTTAAAGGAAATCAAGTCTTTCATTGCTTGATACCTTTTAATTTTGGAATATAACAAGTGCAATTTAGAAAAAACCCTACAGACTAAGTAGATTCTCTCATATTCACTGTAGAATGATAGAAGGATATTAAAGCTGCAGCATCTTTCCTATCATAAGTGTGATATGCTTTATATAGAAGATGAATAAGAGACCCATATGGTGTTTTTATATTTCTTCCAAGTTCAATGCTCAGACGGTAATGACTGGACAAGTTAACAATCCGGCAGTCAATCGATCGGTCAATGCATTTCCATTGCGTAAGAAGCTCAGTATATAATACACACCCCTCCAAACAGAAGCCATCCCCCCAAAATGTTGCGTTAATTAATTTACTTGGTAATGAAATTGATGCGTTGCCAAATTTACTTCATTCGCGTGCCTTTTTATTCGACTCTTGGGTACTTTTTACCCTCAAAATACATACATAGTATGTGTAATATGCCGAAATTTAGTCACCTTATTTTGCGAAGGGGTCGTCGTGACGCCAGTAAATTTATAACGAATTTATAAGGAAAGGTGTGTGTTTCAACTGGGGGGGGGGAAGGGGTAGCAAACCATGAATATGCAAACCAGAACGCGGCCAAAACACAAACGAACACGTTCGTATACATAGTATATTGATCTTGCACTCGACGGCCGCTTTGTTGTGGGGTTCGCTTGTGTTTTTACCTTCTGTACTTGCAATTTGTGATAAAAGGCCTTTTGCCAAATTAAACAAACAATACCGAGAGTACCGAAAAGTGCGCAATGTTTCGAGCGCATTTTATGAGATTTTTATTGGGCCTTTTGTCTGGAGTTTGTCGAATTGTTCTTTTTATATAACCCTTTCATGGGAGTTGAGTGGTTCTTTTGCACCTAAATGCATATACTAAGGGATTCTACGTCGAGACAAATAATTTGCCATATCTTTCTTTAACAAAGTCTCTAGAATAACGTAAAATAAAATCAAAAAGTCCCTTTACAATCTAATCTTATCGCTTAGTTTTCCTTTACATATAAATCTTGGCAATACTTCTTACCTAAGGGCAAAGTACACAAAAATGGGAGCTTCTATTAGAAGTGCGCACTTGAAAAATATATTAAAAACCACTCATTTGTATACCCAAATAAAGGACCCATTAATTCCGCTATGTACTGCAATATTCCTAATTTTTCGAATTGAAATAAATAGAAATTGGTTCTAATTTTCTGGCTGTAAGATTATTTTACTAACCCCTCACCTAAAAACGTTCCCACTCTATTGATAAAGTTTTCTATTTTAATGGAATATCGCTTTCTGCAATATGGGTCGCAGAAATTGATAATAAATATGACTAAGTGGGAGTGGCGCACCTTTTCGTTTTCTTTCGAGGATCCGGAGGAACTGTTTACGTCAAAAAGTTTACCATCCACTGCATCCCGCTTCTTGTTTTTCGACCTGAAGCGGCCAGATCGGGAAATGGAAAAGTTGCGCCATTGATGGCTATACTCGCATCGGTTCTCTTCCTCGTTGAGGACGCTGTCCAAGTAATGTATTGTCGGCTCGTGGGCGGCTGTCATTGTGTTGCTCATCGGCGGCGGTGGCCTTCACCAAAAAGGTTCACAGGCTTGGATACGACCCGATTCAATTGGAATTGATAAGAGAAGTCGCGAAAAAACACAACCGATAGGCGAACTCGCACCGCAAATGAAGTTGAGGCGGCGGCAGTGACGACAACGATGACGGTAGGGCTCTCACTGGGTTCAGGTTCACCCAGTGTTCGACTGTTTCCGTGGCGCGTGTGGTCTGCGACTGCCGACAAGTTCCCATCGTAGCAGCTATTAACCGAAAACGCGCAGAAACGACAGCGGCCGCTGCACGGTGCTGGCTCCAGGCCAGCTCTCTGGGACAAAGAACAAACGCAGTTCGTTGGAGTCGGCGATGACTTTTGTTGTCTCCGACTGAGACGGAGACGGAGAAGGAGATGGAGAAAGAAAGCAAGCCCCAGACCGTGAGATTCCTCCTAAAAGTTCGAGACTGTGCTGGCCGGGCAAGGCCTACTCACAACAAACTCTCAGCTTATAGCCAAAATTAATTCACATTCGTACATATGTGTGTTTGAAGGTGTGGATTCTAAGATTATAAAAGAAGGTGTGCAATTTTTCCATTTAAGGCATATATATAAGGCAATTTTTAATATTTGATTTTAAAAAAGAAATTCTTAACTGTCAAACACAAAGAATGGCTCAAAAAAAGGCCCAAAAAGCTATCGCTATGATAAGTCTAAAAGCCAAATAATAAAACACTTTCAGAACTTTAATTTAAAAGTGAAGTTAAAATAAATGAAGTTGAAAATAACTTATGTTTAAATAAAAATATAAAAAAAAGACATACATTCCAAAAGGTATATTTATTTATTTTCAAGTTTTAAAATTCAAAAACCAAATAAGCCCAAGACAGCTTCTGGCCAAAACCGACATCACTGAGCCCCCGGTTTTATAAACCTATGTATGTTTGTACATACATGTGTCGGGGAAGAGTAACACACAATTATTAATACTCTAAAATATCCCTTAAAAGTGTAAACCCCTTTAAATTGTAAACTAATCCTCATCAGGCTGAAGAATTTTCGAAATTTCAGATAATAAAAATCTTTAAAATACATTTAAAAATAATTCAAGTACTTTAAAGTCATATATGCGTTGACTGGCTCTAAAAGGGTATTTGTGAATCAGTCTAGAATACCAAGTTCCCTCATCCAATCTTCGAAATGCACACCGATAAGTTGCGCTATACCTGTTCTGTCGATGATAAGCGCAAATAGACAAAACTAACACACAACTTGCCAACAATTATAAATGATTAGATCGCTTTTTGGAGCATTCACTTCGGACAGTTCTTTAACAGTATTTCTGTCGATATGGCAAGCAAACTTTGAAACGTTAGATGTATGAGATGTACAAAACGTATCTACATATATACACATGTATCCACGTATCTGGCTCCTGGTGAAATGCAGGCTGGCATCTGTGGATAGATTTCATTTACTGAGCAGGGAATGAGGTGGGGTATCTAGTGACTCAGCATCGCAGCCGGCTTAAATGATATATATCTGCATTATTCACACTTTCTTGGGAGGTATAACATATTAGGTATTAGGTATTTATTACCAACAATCGAATCTTATGCACCTTAGTTATCTTATCTAAAATCGTATTTTTAAGAACCTGCGAACCTTATTATTTTACAAAAGAATCGAGTAATGGATATTATGGTTGTAATTCACCCACAGCCAAGGGCTTAGCATTTATTTACATAGGCAACTTTGTATTTTACAAAAGTGGTAACGTATAAATTCAAAAGTGTGTGGAAGCCTATACATATATTTATGTACTAAATCGTTTTTAAATCTAGCAGGGACATGGCGGATACAATGTTAATGGTAACAAAATATTTTCCAATGTAGTTTGGCGATTTGTTTAAATTTACATTTATTTCCCTGGTCAATACACACAGTGCACTTTAACAATAAATTTAGCATAATTTCTGAAGAAGCAATACCAGAATTCCAACCTTTCCGTACGCATTGTAAAGGGTACGTTTGTAAGCGTATCCTTGCACGTGCGAAAGGTAAAACAATGAATTAAAGAGACAAACGATAACTTGTAGAAAAAAACACATGGCCTTCACTTAAAAATGTTATTTGCTTCCTTTTGCTATCTTCTAGACAACACTCCCGCCACTCTCACCACTTTGGCGGTCACGTTCGCGATCGCGTGTGGACGCCGCTGGCACTGGTCGTTGCTGCTGCTGTGGCGGATTTGGCTGGTCCTGGCGTCCGCCACCAGCGGCATTGTTATTATTGCGGTGAACAAAATTGCGAATGTTCTCCTCCGTGTAGTCTACAATTCGACGCTTTTTGCGGCGGGCATACTGCTTTTGCTTCAAGTAGATCTTCAGAATGCCCTTTACTGTAATAAAGGTTAGACCGCCGAGTAGAGTGCGATGCAGTGTGTTGTCTACAGAGTCAAACAAAATTCGTCCAACAATGGACGATATGGTGGGCAGAAGAAGGGCCCCGCAAAAGACCCGTGTGGCAGATACTGGATCAGACAAGGCGGGTGTAGCCGGGTTACTGGCGCTCTGCTGCTCCTCCTCTTGGTTGCTGTTAAAGATTTACGGATTAAACAGATTTTGTTACAAACGTATGTAGAAGCACAGCTAGTATCTTACAGGTTCGGATAGATAAGGTTCACAAATGGAAACTTTCGGACCACAGTCCCGCGATTTCGAATCAATCGCAGCAAGGCGTCCTCCCAGCGAATCAAACGGCCGAGTACCAGCCCAACAGGTATGGCTGGCAATCCGATCAAAAGTATTAGAGGGTCGCCTGCCTCCATTATAGACATACCATGCTCATGACCAACGATCTAAAAATAATAAACAATGTTTGCACTGGAAAGTAGTAGTGGATTGACTGAATGCAAGTTACCTGCAAAAATGTGACAGCTCCATATGTAACAGCTGTCCAGTATAGGGATCCCACAAAGAAGCCAGCTGCCAGAAATGGACTAAGACGCTTAATAAGATTGTCCATCGCCTCCAGGGCACCGCCAAACTTTCCCATTTGCGGAAACACAATTATGTACTCCGTTTGACATTGCGGACAGGACACGGAACGCAGGGCGTTTCCTTTTTGTGTCTTTTCGTCTATCCAGCGATACAGACAACTTTGATGCACCCACTTGGTTGTGCCGCGGCATTGACACGGTTTCACCCAAGCCGCCAGCCGATTGTCCTCATCGGTGGCAAAGCAGATCCAGCAGCAGCGCTCCGCTTCCATTTCTGCTGGTTCTGCACCAACCAAAACGGTTGTGGAAGTCGCAACATCATTCGATGCCTTGTCGGCAAGGACAACAGTAGCGGTGGTTGATACGACCTCTGCTGAAACGCTCTCCACTGTTACGGTTGTCGAGTCATCACTAGCTTCTGGAGCCGGGCCGCCGCCCCCAGGAGCGTCTGCTTCGGAGGGGGGAACCGCGGCTTTGTCAGACATCGTCGCTGAAAATATCACACAGCTGCACTTTGGGCTTGTTCAGTTGCGTGCAGTCGGATTTCTGCACGTCGACTCGGTAGTTTTTGGTCGATTCTAGATTTTTACTGCTGTGTCAAGCGTATGTAAACCTTTTTACTATGTGATTCAACGAAACTAAGGCGAAATTAAAATAATTTGATATATATTCGCAGGCCACATCCGATGGGGTTTCGGTGTGACCAGGTAGATGTTGTTCGATTGGGCTGGGCTGTTGCACACCGCGTCGCTCTGGTCACACTGGGGTTTTAAAAATGCTGAATGTCCTGAATGTCCTTACAATATTTATTTAAGTCGCAAACCCATTCTTTGGAAGCAAACAAAAAATGTATCAAAAATTCCTCCCAAAAAAGTTTTCTCATCAGTTTCACTTTGATTTATGCAAACTGGAAATCTTTTCACAAATATATTTTCATAAATGTTCCAACCGAAACGCTAAAGAATCTACATTGCAATTTTTGCGACTATACGCTTACGTTAAATAATTTTGCATACAGAACATTAAAATAATAACAAGAAAATCCCGTTAACCGGTGACATGGACCTCAGTTGACCGAGACCGAAAGCTCCTGCAACCAAATAGTCTTGGTGCTAGTCCAGTTCGTTGTTGACATTCTGTCGCCTCAGAGACGTGTCCTGATCTTCAGCGTCCTCATCGTCAAAGCCCGACATAAGGCGGTTGAATATGTCGCCGAACATTCCTCCCAGTCCTGTCGGGCCGACATTCGTCGCTTCCGGCTGTTCATCAAAATATATCACTCCGATTTTAGCCACGTACTTCAGAAACGAGGTATCGCGCTTCAGTGACGGGTCGTAGAGCTTTCGGAGGGCTCGGAAACCTGCCACTCTCTTCGCGTCAATAAGCCGGAACAAAAAGTACAGGAAGTTGATGAGGGGCTCCTTGTAGGGAAACTCGTGGCGCAATAGTTTCGAGTGGGACCTCGTGTACTCCGTAAAAGTGTCCTCTGCGGTTTTGCGGTCCTTTAACGACAGCTGCTGCAAAACTGCCTGCGCTAGAAACAAATCCACCTCACTTTGGAAGCCCCTGCTTTGGCTAATTTCAATCAGCACTCGTCCGGACAGGCTGCCATCCTGGCAAAGTAGGTAGTGATGCCGAGCTGCCTCCACGTTTCCCTCAGTCCAAAACACGTGCGCAATCAATTTGTGCAGCACCGGGTGTCCGTACTGGCCATGCAGGGCAGTGCTCCACTTTATGGTTCTTTGCTGGAATAAAACAAGCTTTAGTCTGGCTACTATTCAGTATGGAAGCTTCTAGAACTTACGATCACGGTCTCACGCTCCACCGTTGCGGCGCTGAGCCCACCAATCAAGCCTCCCCAGCGGGCTACCCATAATTCGGAGTCTTCGGGATGGGGTCCTCTTTTCTCTAGTGTGTCCAGCAGCAAAAGGCATAGGTCCGCCGCACTGCTCTCCTGTCCCTTTGCCATAAGTTGCTGGGCCCCGTCGAAGAGCAGGTCCAAACAGTCTTGGTAGCGTTTCTGGGCCGTGTAGCGGAAGTACAGAGTCCTGTACATCATATGCGCCTCGTAGTATTCACCTCCGGCCAGGGATTGCGCCAACTTGGCCAGGACGCGGCTCACTCCGCGCTGGGCAGCCGATGCAGAGCTGCCACTGGCTGCTGTACCTGACTCGGCGGCGGCCATTTCCCCTGCTTGCTCTGTTGGTTGTTGGGCTTCAAAGCGACCTTCTCAACTTTTGCGAATCTTGATTTTACTATTTTATTGTATTTACATATATGGCAAGAGGAAGAGTGGCATTACCAATGATACGCGGGTAAACCCCGCGTGAACGGTATTTGCAGACACACATACAAACATACATAAAGATACGAAACAAATAAGTTAAATTTCGACGCCAACTGTTCTTTAGTCAACAAATAAAAGAAAATCGCTAAATTCGTTGGCCATAATATTATTATTTATTTATATGTTTATATATTAGTGATTTTTAAAAATTAACATCCAGATAGCATATCGATGGTGTTCGCGCGGAACCGCGAATGGCAAATCTCACACACAATAACGAAGAACGGAACGGACCAGCTGAGTAAACAGGCCTGTGATTTGGTGCTATTTGCCGATCCTTCGCGCAATGGACAGTGAGCTCAGGGACAGCGACTCTATAAAGGAGGAACCTGCGGGCGGGAGCCTTGCAGGGAACTTTGCCCCCAATCGATGGGTGAAGCTGAACGTAGGCGGACAAATTTACACCACCACCTTGGACACTTTGGTGGGTAGGGAACCGGACTCGATGCTCGCGCGGATGTTTCTACAGGATGGCAGCATGAAGCCCAGCGAACGGGATGAGCAGGGGGCTTACCTTATAGACCGCAGCCCACGCTACTTCGAACCCATTATTAATTACCTGCGCCACGGCCAGTTTGTCTGCGACTCAAATATTAGTGTGTTAGGCGTATTAGAGGAAGCACGGTTCTTTGGTATATACTCACTTGTGACGCATCTAGAAGAGCGGCTTGGGCAGCAAGACGATCCGCAATCGGATGACAGACCTTTGACCCGCATGGATGTTATAAAGGCCATAATCCAGACTTCTGTAATAACTGAACTTCGTTTTCAAGGCGTCAATTTATCTGGAGCTGATTTACGAAAGTTGGATTTTCGTAATATAAACTTTAAGGTGAGAGATGCGGCTACATAGCGACCTGTACTCAAAATATTTCCATTTTTCAGTATGCCAACATGTCGCATTGTAATTTGTCCCACACCAACCTCAACTATTGCTGTCTGGAGCGGGCGGACCTGCAGTATGCCAATTTGGAATGCGCTCAACTGGTGTCTGTGCGCGGTCTTTGTGCCAATATGGTAAGCTTATCCATTATAAGGTACTATATATATGGTACTTACTTCAATCCTAATGACAGGAAGGAGCTAATTTGCGCGGTTGCAACTTTGAAGATCCCACCGGAGTGAGGACTAACCTGGAAGGTGTCAACTTAAAAGGTGCTTGCCTCGAAAGCAGCAATATGGCGGGGGTAAATCTTCGCGTCGCCAATCTTAAAAATGCCAATATGAAGAATTGCAACCTACGTGCCGCAGTCCTGGCAGGAGCCGACTTGGAAAGGTGTAACTTATCAGGAAGCGACCTACAGGAGGCCAATCTTAGGGGAGCGAATCTAAAGGATGCAGAACTGACTCTGATGGTTACGCCATTGCATATGTCACAAGCCATTCGCTGATAAAACTATTTTTTTTAAGGAAGGGGACAATACCATGTGCAATTACATATCACATATTGGCTTAAAATAACGATTACATGTAACCATTTTAAACTAAAGCTTGTAAATAAGTATGATTTTAACCGTAGACCTTAACATAAACAGTATTAGGATACACATGATTTTTTTTATTGTGAAAATTTGTATGAAGTAAAACTTTCAACTAGCAGAATAAAATATTTCAAGTTCAAAAATAAAAATTTTTCTTTTATTAAAAAAAAAAACTGCAAGAAATCATTGCTTGTTTAAAAAGTATTTTCCAACACTGGTGACTATTGCAAGCAAGTGACACCACCTAGGTACTTTTCACAGACATCGAGCTAAAATAACCGATTATTGCAAAGTCATTTAGTAAAAAATACTGCAAAATAAACAAATTATTTGGGGGAAAAAATTGTGAAAAATCGACTGTGACAAGGATTTTGTACGATAGTCCTTTAGTGCGGCAGCAAAAATCCAGTGAAATCCCTCGGTATTTTTTAAGGTATCCGTGACACCACCCAAGGTACTTTCTTTTCAACGTCTGGTATCACCAGGCATCACAGAGAGCTGTCGCCCCAAACGTCAAAACGTCAAACGGCAAACGTCAGAAACGTGGTTTTTTTTTGTGGCTTGTGGTTTGTTGGAAGCAGGAGAAGTTAGACGTTGCTCTGTAACTTGTGAAAATTCAGCGAAAAAAATTCTCGAGCAAAAAATAAAAACAGTTCGAGTACGCAACATATAAACGAGATACGATGGAGAATCAAAGCAACGCAGCTCCCGCTGCTGCCGCCGCGGAGAATGGCGCTAACACCGCGCAGGAGGTATCATCGACAAGTAAGTTATTTTGTCCAATTGCGCGACGGCGCCGCATAGCTAGAACGAAAGGCAATATGCAAGTGTGAGAATGTTATCATGAGTATTTTGCGCCGCGTTTGCTTGTCCGTTCGCTAAAAGTGCATTGCACTATTTTCGCATATCAAAAAGGGATCAAGGGCATTCTCGCAGCTGCGAACTTCGTTAATAGGGCTTATTCCCTTGACCCCTTCCCGTTCCTTCGCTCGGCCATTTTACGAACGGTGCAAAAAAGTTGTCAAAATTCCGCCATATTTTTTTCTAGCAAACTCTAGCTGTAAATAAGAGTTGTCAAATAGCCGAAACTTTGTAGCGAAATTGTTGCAAAAAATGGTAATGAAAATGGAAGAAGGGAAGATGCAAAGGGGGGAATAACTTGTGTGTATACATGTCGGTACGCGATCCACGATTCTGTTGTTGACATTAATTACGTCATCGTGGCGCGCATTCTTGTGCTGAAAACAGCAGCAGGCTTACAATTACTAGTTGTCCGGACGCAAATAGTCCGGAATGAATCATTTTCGGCGACTATTTTGGCTGCTCTTGGCCGATTTGAGTTTTGGTGTTCGTTAATGTCATTTCTTGCATGCCGCACCGCCTCTTTACCGCCGGTGCACACCAGCACAAGCCACTCCTCACATGCATACATATTAATTGAGAAATTCGCGTTTTGATGCGCTCATCGCTGAGCAATGTTTAGTGCGTGTGCTGGTGTATGTAGGCAGCCTCGTGTGTGTGGCCGGAGCGTTGCCAACTTATTGGTCATGCGTCAATATCGATATTGGGATATTTGAAATTAAGTTTTTCCAACAAGAACACGCAATTTGTGCTTTTCATGTACGCTGGGAGCTGTCGTTTTGAGTTAAAATTTGCCATCTCATCCTTGAAAACGTACATGTTTTTTCATGCAAACTTTTTTTTTGTTTAGAATTGCTTCAGGTGGCAACTCTGCTGCCTTGTTTTCCATGCAAATTTTCTCTTTATTTTTGTTGATGACAGTGCCGGTGTTTGCAAATGCTTGTTTTGGGCCGAAATAGTTTTTGTTAGATTTCTGGGCGTGGAAACCGGTTTATCAGTCCCAATATCACCTTTAGTCCAGCATAAAACCAACGTGATAACAACACAGGTCCGGCGTGCGATAAGAGCTGTCCGCCTATGGAATTTCGCTGTCAGCAGATTCTACAACTATGTATTTGCGTTTTTTGCATCGTTTCTTTTCTGTTCAACAGCTCAGCCCGTGGAGCCCACAAAGCGCTCTTTGCGCGTGCAAACCTGGAAGAAGATCCAGGAGGGCAAGGTGGGAATTGGATTTAACAACATATTCAACCGTATTCCCGCATTTGTCGATGCCGATAAGGCTGCTTCATTGCTCATCAATGAGGAGGAATTCAAAAAAGCACGTAAGTGTACCAGGATTGCAAAACTAATCACAATCCTACATTGAGTTCACCCCCTTCTTATCCCCTATAGAGCACATCAAGGTGAACATCGATCGCGCCTTGCACGACTTCAAAGAAAAGGCTTTGCTGGCCGATAAGGCCGTTTACTTGCCCAGCACTCGTGATTCGTCTGCGCTGTGCCTGAAGGTAGATGTGCCTGCCGATGCCACAGAAGAGCAGAAGAAGGAGGCGTTGCGCGTGCAGGACATTCAGAAATTCCGCTCGGAAATCGCTCTGGACAGCGGCCTGAAGCTTGATATGGTCGTAATCGGCTCAGTTGTTGTTTCGCGCGAGGGCTATCGTATTGGCCGTGGCAATGGGTTCGCCGATCTGGACATTGGCCTGCTCATCGAATTGGGCGCCATTACCCCACAAACAGTGATTGTTACGATCGTACATGATCTCCAGGTGTTGGACACATTGCCTCTGAACCTGTTTCAGAAGTACGACACCCCAGTAGACATCATTGTTACGCCAACTGAGGTGATCCGTGTCGCTAAGCGTTTGCCACGTCCCAGTGGCGTTTTCTGGGAGTTGTTGTCAGATCGCCGTTTGAAGATATTGCCTGTTCTGCAACAGCTTAAGGAGCGCGAGGAGAAGGCCGGAAAGGCGATTGCATTGAAAGAGGAAGATACCGATGTGGAGCAGCATCAAAACAACAGGCGCCGTGGTCGTGGTCCGCTGCGTCGTCGCTTCCAACGAGGAAACCCAGGACGCACCACCTCACAGACTGACAACGAGCAGCCAGGCGTAAGTGGATTTTTATCCCTTTATTTCGCCAATGAAGAATAATTTTAAATATATTTCATAAACTTACAGCAGGAAACTACGCAGAAGCGTACTCCCCGGCGCAAGGGCCGCTTCGTTAACCGCCGCAGACGCGCAACTAAGGTTAGTTGGTTATAGATTTGTACTTTACCTATATAATTATAAATAATATAATTATTGCAGTCTGAGGGCGAACAGTCTGGAGTTGAGGGAGGTGCTAAGAGTGAGGATCGTAAGTTTGATGAAGCTGGCGCTGGCGAGCGTCGTCCGAAGAAGAACAAGAATCGCGGACCGCGTGATTTCTGCATTAAGTTGACAAATTTGACCCGTGATATTCGCGTCAAGGACCTGAAATCTGAGCTCCGCAAGCGCGAGTGCAACCCCATGTCTATTACATGGAAGGGTAAGTCAAGAAATAATTACTTTTTAGGCAATATGCTAACGGTTCTGTCTTATTAGGTCACTTTGGAAAGTGTTTCCTGTATTTCGGAAACCGTAACGGAACTCCCAGTACCCAGGATGACGTGGACAAGGTGATGAAGTCACTTAACGATCTATCGCTGACCATTACCACCGGTGGCGAGGCTGCCCCAGCAACCGCAGCGGGTGCTGAAGGTGATGCCGCTGTGAAGACGGAGCCAGTGGAGTCTGCGGCGCCGGTTCAGACCAAGACAATAAACGTCAACGTCGAATTGATCAAGTTTGGCGCCAAGAAGAGTGGAGGCTCCACTGCCGGCAATGCTGGCGCTGTTGACGATGGAAACGCTGCCGGCGATGCGCAAAATGGAAGTGAGGCCGGCAATGTTGGTGGCGGGGATGCGGGTGGCGCTCGCATCGAATCTGTGGACACCACCACAGTATAGTATGACACAACAGTCAGCTCAGCCACCCAATGGTTGCGGCGGAAGTCCGCCGGCAGCATAACGTTTGGAGTTCATCGAAAAAAAGTAACATTTTGTTTAGAGAAAATCTAAAAATATCACACAAAATATGAATACAACAGAAAATGAGCTCCAAACACCAAAAACACACACTCACACCACACACACACACCATACAGGCATACAACCATAGACACACATACACACATTCAGCTACACATGCATACACTGAAGATCATATTTTGCAGCTTGTAGTTCTTCTCCTTCATTATTCTAACAAGAGCAAAAGCAACATTTTCTAACTCAAAACCATTGACGCTTTTTTAAACAATTGCATTTGTTTTTGCCTAAGAAAAAACAAAACGAAAATTCGTTGAGCAACTTAACTGAAATTTAAATTAGTTACAATCATTGCAGAAATACTCGTTCCACACACAGAGTGGAACAAAATTTCTATAATATAATCGTTTACTAACTTGTTCCTGTGGCAGCCCACAGTCTAAGGTTAATAATCTACCTTTCCTATAAATTTCTCATTTTCGTTTTCTTTCGCCCGTTTTGCAATTAATATCCAGTGTTCCATCACAATTAAGCAGTTGAGCTGCTTTTTGTGTGGAACACTGTGGGTGAAGATGAAATATTCTTAATATTTGTAATATTAATCGCAAAAGCCCAAATAAAACGAAAAATCGTAAACGAAAAATTGAATTACAAAAAAAAAAAACTATTAAAATGTTGCATTTTTGCTGCGAAAATAATTCAAACAAAAAAATATTGTAATTTTGGTTAGTGTCTCCACATTAACGAAACACCAATACCCCTTAATTATAAATTTTAACAAGAGATCAACAGAAACATGAAAACGGCAATTATACAATGCAGAACATATTATTTACTCTTTTTTATACAAAGAAAAGGCGTTACAAAAAAAATGTGAAACATGAATGAAATATAACTTGAAATAAAAACTAAAAAAAATCGAAAAATTTGTGCAGTGCTATGCTTAGTTTATTTTGATTTTCAATTAAAATCTATTTATTTATTTACAAAGAATCTTAACACTTATGTAGGCCAGTGAAATACCCTAAGGGATATCAAATTTGTTTATATATCATTTTATATACATATACAATGATGAAATTCAGCAGAGAGTTCGAAAAATAGATCTGGTGTTGGGTGGGTGGTATCGATGACTTGGTATCAAGTGGTCGCTGGGTGCATGGGCATATTGGGCATTGTTTGTGCTTTTTCTTTGAAACCTATTACGATCATGGGGGTTCTGTTCTGGGCTTTCTGCATTACTGGGGGCTCGTTGCCTTGTCCGATGTGCTGCTGGGGCCTCCCTTGGGCGGTTTCTGTGCCGAGTCAGGCACAATGGTGGGCTGCGGAGACGGAGTGCGGTCTATGAATTCGATGCTTTCGCTCTCCTTACAGGCTGCTCCCTTTGCCGCTGTCGAGGATGATGTCGCGGCATCGACAGCTTGCACAATGGAAGGATTGGGCTTCTCCTGAATGGGGGCCAGACTATTGACTATGGAGTTGGCCATCGCAAGCTCCAGCTCCCGCTGCCAGTCGTTTTCCTTCTGCTCCATGGCCTTCCGCTTCAGCTCCTTGTAGCGGTTGTAGACGATGAACTCCTTGACGAGAGCTGTCTCTGGATCACTGTCACGTTGCGCGGAACGCTGCTTTGCCAAACGCTTCTTCTTTTTGTGAAGAGGTCGCGTCTCCACAATCATCTCCTCCAGCTCTAGACAGGGATCACAGTTTAAATGGTCTTCGGGCGGTTTGAAAAGGGGTTTCGTCTTCTTGTCGAGGACTTGTTGAAAGTCAATATTCCTCAGTAGTGGTGTCTGATGCAGCTCCTGCTGTGTGCTTATCCTGGCCCCAGGGTACGGGGAGAGCAGCTGTAATATAACAAAATAAATAAAGCTTAATGTTGTCAGAACTGACTAAATTGAAGCCATCAGCTAACCTTCTGCAATAAATCGACAAAATTGCTGGTCCAGTAACGAGGATAGTGCACTGGAGTGTTCAGAATATTCTTGATTTCTGCCAGTGGCGTGTTCGAGTGCACTACAAACGGTCTGTTGTTGCCCCTCATCTCGTAGGCCACCACGCCCAGGGACCACCAGTCAACCGGATAACTGTATCCAGCTGTAAATGAATTGAAACCATCAGGATGCAGTCAATTAACTACAGCAGAACCCTATCCCCACACATGCTACAGTGCGGACGGAACATGTATCGTTTTAATTTCATTTTTCCCCAACATCCAACTTACCCACTTCGTCCAGGGCGCAGAGGAACACCTCGGGTGCCATATATGGCTTCGTTCCTGACATGCTGCAGGCCAAAGCATCCTTTTGCAATCTTGTGGCAATATTAAAATCAGTCAAATGGGCGTGTCCTGAAATTAATTTAATTCAGGGTAAAGTTGGGACACAAATTTCGGAACAGGAGTATATGTATATGTATGGTGGTTTAATTTCTTTGGGGGAAAGGAAAGTTAGCTTGGGGCGGTGTCGAAGCGTATATACCCTGGTATACCATATTTAATCCACTTATGTAGTATATGACACCAATTAGTCGTTTGGAAGCCTTAAGCATCCGTCATTTTAATCCAGATTAAAAATGAATATTCATTTTTATAAAAAGAACATAAGCATATACGAGTATAGTGGCAGAACTTTTTTTTATACTAAGAGTTTATTTCGTACTATTTTGGGTATTAAAGGTAAGGGTATATTATTGAATCATTAATAATGAATTATTTTCTATAAAGTAGGTATTAAAAAAGGCCAAACTTGGTGTACGATATCTTTTACATATAACTTTCTCATAATATTCCTCAAAAATTCCCCCAAAATTCCTTAAAATAACCTGACCGGGCCGGGCCGACTTCACATAACTTATAGCTGTCAAATAACTGAATGACCCTTAACATTAAAGGTTTTACCATTTTTTCTATTTTTTTTTCAAAGTTAAATTTTTAAATCACTGTTTTGATCTTGATATCTATGAAAGGGTATATAAGTTTCAGCTTCATTGAAAGTTAAATTTCCCATTTTTTTGTGTTTAATAACATTTTGGCCTCAGCACGTTTCTCTGAATACCTGCCGGGTGACATCCAGTTCCTGTCTGGATTGCCAATGAATAATTTGTGACCGCCCAGCCTGCCTACCTATACGGAAATACACCTGGGAGCGTGAAACACTCTGCACGAAATCGATAAATGTTCGAGGTTCGAGCAACCAACCAATTCCTGCGTGTCAACGAGGAGGCCAACATTGACACTTTCACATGGCACGTCCTGAAAACTTACCGGCATCATCCAATAGAATATTATCAGGCTTGATGTCCCTGTGGACAACTCGTTGCGTTTGCAGGTACTCCAGCGCACTGCCAAGCTCGCACACTAATAAGGCCACACTCTTCTCGGAGAACTCCACCTGAAAGGATACGGGTTGCTGTATGAGACAAGAGCACAAAAGGGCTGGGGAGCGCGGCGGAAGGACTTACTCGGTTCTGTAAGTGATATCTCAAATCGCCGCCAGTCAACAGGTCGCAGACCATGAATAAATCCTCTTCGTCTGTGGAAAACAGAAGTGAGGATATACATATATGTGAGGATTTTGACTTGAAAATAAATTCAGAAAGTTAATTTGCATTTTGATTGCCAATCAGCAGCAGCGGAAGACGTATGTATGTATGAATATTATAGGAAAAAGTGGACAGGTGAGAGGAAGAAGGTAAAAGGTAGAAAAAACAGATACCTTAAAATTTGCATACCCTGGCAAGGATATGACAGAACAATACATTATAAAATGTAACTCTACCTTTTGAAAGGCTATTGGTACTTGGTTATGGGGGTTGAAGTCTTAAATATTGTTATAAAAACATATGATTGTTATGAAAATATATGAGAAACTTGATGATAAGAGTATTAATGTCCGAATTTAAAATTTTTAAAGGGCCTCTTTATTAAGACGTGAATATTATTTAAAAACCCAATCTCTGGATTGCTTGTAGACTCACCTTGAAAGGAGAACCACAAATTGACAAGGAACGGATGCTCCAGCGAGGACAGTAGTTCCACCTCCTTGATGACACCACCCAAAGCCCCTCGTAGCTCGCATGCTGATCGACTCACATACTTCATGGCGTATAGGATGCCGTTGTCGCGTTTCTGAACAATACAAACCTATGAAGAACATTCGATAAGTAACTCTTGGGATTATCCACAATAATGACTCACCTTGCCGAAACTGCCCTTGCCTATAGCACGAAGAATTTGGAAGTGATCGAAATTGACTGTGGGGACAAAAGAAATGGCGAATGAGTTGATCCTTTCGTTGGAATTCGGTTTTAATCTACCGCCCACACACCTGGTGACTTCCAACTTTGGCCTTCATTCTGGCTTTGGAGAACGCAACCCATGGTGGGTGCGTCGTCAAGGTAGTTTGACTTTGGCATAATCTGTCTTAGCTGATGCCTGAGACGAGGCCGCAATGCGAACGGCGGCAGTGCATCCACCTGCAGAAGGTCCAGCTTGGGATACCTGCATCCTACCAGCGCCTCGAAATGCTCCCTACTCATGTAGCTGACCCTGATCTCCCGCAGCCTCTGGCATGCACAATATAGGAGCATCCTAAAGTCCTCCCCCTTCATCGGCACTTCCAGCAGGTTGAGCGTAATCCTGTCAAGTCGTCGGCGCCAAACACTTGCCAGCACGGGTCGACAGCGCTCATAGGCCTGCAGCATGTTAATCTGGTCGGGGAGGGAGAGAAGCTCCAATATCCTGCTCAGGCACAACTCAGGCATCAGCTCCATACTGGACTATACCTCAGGTGTGTGTGCGGTAGAAAATTGTTCAATTTTGATTTATCCTTCCCGTCACAGGCTCAGGCTACTTTGATGTTTAATTTTTTTAGCCCCTGTACCTTCCAATTGACTCCTGTTTTACTGTACAGTAGCCACTTACCATCATCGTTGCCGAGCAGACTCGCGTCGGATCTGCTCGATGTGTTGGCCCCCATAGTGCTACATCAATGGCTTCGCCCGCCTTCTTTCGTAGTTGCCCTTTGATGGATTTTTTTTAAACAAACTTAAGGATTGTTGCCGTGGTGTCGGATTTTCGCTGCCCCACGTTTTTCTATTGTAGCCAAATAGGATGCACCTGAAACAAAAGACGGGCCAAATGGAAAAAGTTAGGACGAGAACAGGATATTCCAACGCAAATGGAGACTGCTTTTTGTTCTACGGGAACCTAGAGGAAGTATTTATCGGGCAAACAATTCAAATTAAAGTCGATGGTCGATAAAGTCGATAAAGTCGTATTAAAGTCGAAAATATATGTACGCATACCTAATATTATTTGCCAATAATCATCCGACTCTTGAGCGGCATCAAAACCTACAAACAAAATATTTGTTAAATTTTTTGTAAACTTTTCTGGAGGGTCCCCTTCAAAAATGGAGAAAATTCATGGAAGGGTAATGTGGCCCCTGGTGAAGGCCGTATCTTTGCCAATAATCATCCGATTCTTTAGCAGAATACCTTAAACGATTTGTAGATCGATTCTCCATCAATCTGCATCAAAACTTAACAAGAAAATATTTTTGAGAATTTTTGTCAAATTTTCTGATGGGTCCCCTTCAAAAATGGGGAAAATGCAAGGAAGGACAATATGGTCCCCAGGAAATGCCATATCTTTGCCAATAACCATCTTTAGCGGAATACCTTAAACGATTTGTAGATCGATTCTCCATCAAACTGCATCAAAGCCTAACAACAAAATATTTTTTAGATTTTTTGTCAAATTTTCTGATGGGTACCCTTTAAAAATAGAGAAAATTCATGGAAGGGTAATATGGCCTCTGCCGAAGGCCATATCTTTACCAATAATCATCCGATTCTATAGCGGACTACCTCAACGATTGGTTTATCGATTCTACACCAATCTGCATCAAAACCTACAAACAAAATATTTTTTTAATTTTTTGTCGATTTTTCTGGAGGGTCCCTTTCAAAAATGGAGAAAATGCATGGAAGGGTAATATTGCCCCTGCCGAAGGCCATATCTGGGCCAATAGTAATCCATTTTTAAGCGAAATGCCAAATTTAATAAAAAAACGACTTCCTTTTCATTATGTAATAGAAAAAACTGTAATTGGGCCACACTAAACACTGTTTTTAGAGTAACCCTATAGCTTGTCACACCAATATCGCAGAGGCCTGTGCAAGAGCTGTAACAATTCGGTCTGTATTCTGTACTGTGTTTTTTATAGAACACTTGGTTCTCGCCTAGGAAAGACGACATTTTTAAGGCGACATTGTCCCCAAACCCACTAAGAAAACATACTGCGATGAGCGGCCAAGAGTCCATAGACATCGTGGCCAAGGGAAACGGGCTGGAGGCAATCGTTTCACTGCGCCAGAACGAGCTTATCCGGAACTTGCGCGCTCTGGTGGCCGTTCGCTTCGAGCAGGCTATTCCTCGTATTGTTTTGGTCTTTGCCGGCGAGGTTTTGCGGGACGTTGGTACGATTGATGATCAAGGAATAATCTCCGGCGTCACGGTGCACGTCGTGTGTCGGCCAGAGAAGTCCCAGGGCGGTGCTGGCCAGGTGCCCCCTCCGGAGCCGTGCTGCAAATCGAAGAGCTCCAACTTTCTGACTCGTTTGGCCAACCAACCGAATCTGATGAGAACTGTGTTGCAGTCCGATCCGCGGATCCAATCTATGCTTGATGAGAATGCGACGCTGCGCCACTACCTCAACAGCGACAGGAACCTGCTCGAGTTGGCGTCGCATGCGTTCAGTCCGGCTAAGGCGGAGATGAGTCGCCGCCGCGATCTCCACATCAAGCGCTTGCAATCGATGTCCGGTGGACAAAAACTATTGTTGGCTTTCGAAGAGTGCATGCGTCAAAACAATGAAAACACTGTGGCCAGGACATATAAGCACCCGCCACTGCGCTTGGATGACGGCACAAATCCCCAGCGAGGGCTCGAGAACAGGTGCCCCCTGCCCAATCCATGGCGACGCACGGTCACCCTCGAAGACTTAAATTTTGCAAAGCTCTTGGAGACTGCTTTGAGAAGAAAATGCAGGAAAGTGATGAAGACTTTGGCGGAAGGCGACGCTGAAAAGTCGGTAGCTGCTGTGCGTGGACTCCATGAAGCGGCGGCCTTGGCGCGTCGCAGCTTCGAGCGTCGGATTCGTGAAAACCAAATTAAAGCCGCCAATTCGCCGGGCGGTGCCGAAGCCATCGGAGTTGGAACTGTCGTAAATATAAGTTCAGGCCTCCGGATGAATGTGAGCTATAAAGGACAGATGGAGCGACTCCAGCAATTGGGCTACAATAATGAGAAACGCAACCAATACGCTCTGCAGGTCTCACTGGGCAATCTGGAAGGTGCGGTGAGACTGCTGGATCATTGGAATCGCACTCAGGAATGATAGTATCACTTTTTAATCATTCTGTTTTGTTTTTTTTTGCCCAATGATCTTGTATCCGAATGTAAAATGCAAACAGTAACGTACCGTGTAACTGAAATCCCTTAAATTACTAAATCTCTGTTTTACTTCGGTAATCATTTGTATATTTAAAAAAGGCTGACAATATAAAAGATTATGAATGATATAATTTGTTCATTATGTAATCTTTAAATAAAGATATGTACGCTACCGAGTTACTTTATTAAGACGGAAGGTATTAAGACGGGAAACCATTTATTAAAGCCCTTTATTACATTTTTTCATCAAAAAATCGACAGCATTTCCCACCAACGCTAATGTAGCGAAACAATCGTCCATTTGCTTCAGCCACTTTGCATTTAAATATTTTATGACCGAGCAAAAGAGTACACAACGGGCCCTTTGAAGTGATGCCTCAAAAAGACAGTCTTAGCCAGCCTCCCCACAGGCCATGTGTCACCTTCAAATGCCCAAGGAGATTGGGTGAAATGCAAACATGTTTCGGTTCCCATGTCAGTTACACTCTGGCTATTAGTTTCTTAGAGTTACAAAACAGCAACCACTGGCTGCTCCCTTGAAGTAAAATTTAATGTTGATAACTTAATCGGAGCATGGAGTTTATTGGTCCAGCTTTAAGGACACTGGAAGGCTTTAATTTTGAAGGCGGTCTCTCAAGACATCCCCCAGCATCTTGAAAGGCTTTTTTATGGATGTATGTTTGTGGTATACCGTTGGAGGTGACAGGCTGAGTGGAAAAAGATATTGGATTTGGGACACGGCTTACCTCAGAAGGTGGTTGTAAGGAGGCAAGCCTCTTAAAACAAGAGGGCTCCTTGAGCTTTCATAAACACGTTTCGTTTTTGTCGCTTTTTGATAAGCTGTTCATTTCAGAAGGACTCTAAGCTCAAGATGAACCCTTTTTTTATGACTGGCTGGAAGTTGGCTGGAGGAGCGTCGGAGGCCCACACACACTTCATACAAAGTTACACGCCACAATGATTTCCGAAAATAATCCTACAAAATTCGGGTTATTGGGTTATTCATCTGATTCATCTATTGATTTTACATAATTAAGAGTCGCATGATTTAGCCAGAACAAAAATAGGTCAGACGCACGATTTCTGTACAGTCAATTAGCTAATGAGCTTTTAATATACATTGTGGAAATATGAACAGAAGATTCATCAAATGATTGGAATCTAAATGGAGTGAGATTGAGTTCCAGAGTAGATCTGAAACCCCAGGGGCTACATATTCCGGCCGAATGGCGTCATTAATCAATGGATTTGTAAGCCTTAAACACGATTGTCAAATATCGAAAGACGAGCATTTAGACAAAGTTGTCACAACAAATAGAACCAGAATCAATCAAAGTGCTACCAGAATCCACAAGCTTTGTTTGTTTTCCCCTTTATTTTGGCCAGAGTGAGTTCAGCAGAATGCTGGTTCTAATTGGAAAAAACTCTTAATTAATGGTCCAAGATGCCTCATATTTTCCCTAGTTCTTTGAACGTGACCCGGTCTCTTGGCCTGAAAAATTAATGAGCGCAAAAAGACAATGCGGCGTCATTCACCTATCCCTCTGTTCATCCAGCCAGCAAGGACCATCAAGGACCCAAGCCTTCATTAGCAGCTGGCCAAAAGGGAACAGCAAACACCGAAAAATCAGCATAAAAATTAGCATATTCCAAAAAGATTTTTATTAGTCCTGGCGCCTTCTTTTTCCCTTTCGACGACCTCTAATGAGAAAATGCCGCGCCACTGTAGCCCAGATCCGAAAAAAGCAATCAGCTTCATGTTCGCTGAGCCTGCGAATAATGTTTTAAGCCGATCCGAACTTTAAACTTTTTGATCCTGAGTGACAGAATCAGGATGCAGGCGAATGCCAGTGCGGCAAGTGGCACATTACTCCTTGCTGTAAGCCCCTTAAAGGATTACAAATGATGACAAAATCGTAGTCTGTGACACATTTGACCACACTAAACACTTCTGAATCGACGCCTTAGCGTTCCTAAATTTCTCAATTATGGTTTATTTAGGGTCTGACCACAAAAGAGGGCAGTTTTCAGGACGTTAACACTAATCCTCGACACTAGGGAAGGACTCCGCCGATTCATAACCGTAAAATCCGCCATACCGTAAGCTCCCTAACGGTCCAGGGTCCCATAAACAGACGAATTTTATGGCGATTTCCGTTTATGGTCTCTCAGCTCAAGGAACATTTATTATTTAGATTATATGCACTGCCGCGTGTTGCTTTGTTTGTTTGCATGTTTTATGATTTAAAAATTTGATGACCCCGGCACACTCGTCCTTTATGTGTGAGCTTCCTTCGTGAAATTAGAGTATGGTGTCTTCCAAGCCTATTGTCTATTTACAGGATTTTGTCGCAAGCCATTGTGTGTTTTCCAAGGAAGTTTTCACGCTCTACTAACAGTGAATGGTCAATCAAGGATCTGCTTCTCATAAAACAGAACAAAACATAAATTCGCCATTTTGAATCTCCATTTTGAATCGCCATTTTGGAATTGAATTAATTACTAACGAGCGCTCTTATTGATGCCAGCTCGGATAACAATAAATTTTCAGAGGAACCGATGACATCATCGCCGCCGTCTCATCCGATTCCCAAGGAGCAGAGAAAAAATCTATAATTTGAAACGACTTGATGGAGCCGGTACTCATGTTTATGGGCCCAGCCTGTGCTGGGGCTTGGGCTGGAGCTGGAATTAATTTATGTAGGCTCGGAATCGGTAAGACGAAACTCCTGAAATGTCCTCTTGTGCTCGAATGCCTGCCATAATCCATAATCCATAAAAAAGTGCGTTTCTCTTCTATTAGAGCAGACAGTCAAGCAGGAGTCGGGGAGCAAAGGAAACCACCCCAAAAAGCCCGTCAGGAATCAAGTTGACACGTAAATTCCATGCTACCCAAAAAGCGGAATGGAGGAGTTCATTGACATCTCGGTTCGGGGCGGGGGGGTTCGTTTCTTTTCATTTCATTGGACAGCAAAAAAAAAGCAGTAACAGTGTAGTATGTAGTAGTAACCTAGGACCCATACTCTCTAATCATCTCCGACAAACACAATTTGCTTAAGTCAGCAACGCACTCGAGGAATATTTGCTGTGTGTGCGATGGAAATTCTCATAACACTCACAAGACGAGAACCAAGTCGCTGCCAGCCGAATGCGAAGGATGCGAGGTGAAGAGGTTACCACTTTGTTTCCTTTGAAATTTATCGATTGGCATTGCTCACATGTAGTACGGGCAAGTACATTGTACATTTACTTTGTGAATACGGTATGTATGTGCCAGCATGTGTGCTGGGTCCCATTCAAATTGCACTTGCAATGTCCTGGCGTTGGTAATGGACCAAATTTCTGCCAAGACATCTCTGGCCCAACTCCCCACTGAACAATGGTGACTACAATGAGAGAGGTCCTTTGAATAAAGGGGGTATTTGAATTTTTCTGTTTACCTAGCCTGAGATAAGAAGTCCCTTCTCACGTACGAGAGTGGAATATGATTCCAAAAACAATGGTTAATTGAAATTCTTAGAACACAGGATAGCACATGAAAGCACAGGATATTTTGCCCTCAATGGAGGCCCATAATTTCGACCGCAAGTGGAATGTTGCATGTTCTTGTGTGTCTGGTGTGCGATGGCGTGTACCTGTTTTGGTAGAACAAACATATCCATTTGGTTGTTTTTGCGTCTGCGAACCCTTGATGGATGTAACTGGCGCCGGCAAAAAGTCACGCGATTCTATAGATAAGCACTCACACAGCGATATGCAACGTGCCGCTATTACCATCACCGTTCCGTCGGCAATTATTTACGTTTTCCGCCGCTTGGCGCCGCCGTATTTTGGTCCGCCTTTCACCCACACCGAGCAACCGTTATCCTCGAACTGGGGCCGCTGTCCTGCTCCCTCTTTGTTTACAGTTTTCCTCACAAAGGACCAGAGAGACCGGGCATGGCGCATGCGGCCCAAGCAGGATAAGGGAGCCAGGACATCCACTATCCGCTCTTTGACTCTCTTTTTTTCGAGAATATCGCTGGCGGCGAGCCTTATGAATGAACCCCAATTAGCCATGCTAGCTAGCAATGCTTTATTATGATGATTACTTCAGATGCGATTATGATTGGAGGTCCTATTTGGCGTTGCCTGCTCTGGTCGTGGTCGCCAAAAAGGCGCATCAGCTTGAGCGGGAATTGATTGCGCGCATATTTTGCCAGCAGAAGGACTCATCCATCTCGCTGACGGATGAGCCTGTTTCCGGCTGGGACACTCGACTGAGCTCCCTGGGTGGCCCCCATAATATTCCACTCGTCTGAAGGGTCCTAATTCAATGCAATTAGCCTAAAAATGCTTATAAACGATGTGCGCTTTGAAGGAGGCCGAGGTCTGCATCCGACAACAGGTGGCCCGAGGGGAAAGATGGATGGTAATCTTTAAAGCTTTAATATCCGAAAAAGTCGAATATATACTATGTATGCCTGAAAACGAGAAGATTGCCAAGTACATAACTGAAACAATAGAATACCCCCCTCCGAAAGGAAAGGTGCGAGAAAACCTATGGAGTCTACGGACCCATCTGACACCCCAAAAGCCACATCCCTTCCCAAGGACTTTTTTTCCATTCCGTTCGACATACTTTTGTGAACTGCTCACATTGTTTACACGAAATTTTATTGTTTATTCTGCTGATAATGCTGAAGAAGACAGAAACGAGAGAAATAAAACCCAAATACCTCTGTCAGAATATATATATGTATATATATATATATACTGTATTGTCTGTATATCCTTCCGTCAGTGTTTAGGGAAGAGATGGCTATTTAAATTCAACAAAGTCAAAATTGTTTTTCCTAACCAAGGCAAGACGCATAATCCAATGCGGTTTAGAGTGCTTGTGTATCCCGTCGAGTCCTTGGGGAGAGCTATGGTATCTGCGGCATCTCTGGACCTTAAAGCGAGTATTTAATATGGGGCTTTTTTGTTTTTGTTTACTTGGAGCAAACACACACAAAAACACACACACACCGTGTTTGATTAGGATGGACCTTTTAATTTTCCTTCCGAAAATTCAGGTTTCAGATTTTATTTAATTAGGGGAAGAAATGCGTCGCCTGATGGGGCTCTTTTATTGATTCTTGGTGCACCACATTTAATTACCAGCC